AAGCAGCATTAGAGACGAACCGCTATTTTGAGTCGACTCAAAAATCGACTTAGGCTGGTTCACATGCAGCAGCGCATGAGCAAGCAGCATTAGAGATGAACCGCCGCCATTCCCCCCCCCCCTCCCCCCCCCCCCCCCATTTTTTAGTCGTCTCCAAAATATTAATTGTGAAGTTGCGATCATCATCACCATCCGCATTTATTTTTTAACACATTGGGTGTATATGTCGATGTTACCCTGTGCAGGCGGGGCTAAGGGCAAGATGACAGTGGAGGCGCTGGAGAAGATGCTGGAGGACCCCATGGTGCAGAAAATGGTTTTCCCGTGAGTTTCCGGGGTAATTGCCCCCATTGCCCCACAAGTGCCATTATGCCTGCTGGTGTGTTCTACTAACTCCACTCCACTTTCCTAACGCATTTGCCACTCTCGTCCCTCCATATCACTCATGAATTTTTTATTTCTTCCCACATCCCTCCACTCTGCAAGCTCAACGGTTTTTGTGTCTTCCCGTCCCTCCTCCTTACACATGTGCTGCCCTGCAGGTATCTCCTAGAGGAGATGAGAGACCCATCCACTTTCAAGTGCACTTTCGAGGCGCCTCAAATGTTTTTTTTTTTAATTCAACCTGCAACCTTCAACCACCCTTTTGTCTCTGCTTCTCCCCTCCCCACACACTCGTGCTGCCCTGCAGGTATCTTCCAGAGGAGATGCGGGATCCAGCCACCTTCAAGTGTAAGCACCTCCACACGTCCTCTCCTTTCCCCACTCCCCTTCTCCCCATGACCCCACACCTCCTCCCTTTCTACTTCCCTTCTAATCCACCAACCGCCTTTGCCCTTTGCCACCTTTGATTGTACGCACCTCCACTCCTCCTTCCCGCACTCCCTCCCACCACTTGAACATTACTGTGCAGACTCGCGACATCCATCCATCATTGTTCCTGTCGTTTGCATCCTTCCTCTCTCTGTGCCCTCTCTGACACCTCTTCTGCTCCCCACCCCTCGTCCACCCTCCTCTGCCTGCTCCTATCCCTTCTCTTCTCTCGTGCCGTCTCTACCCGCCCCAACTCCCCACGCCCCATCCCCCATGTGCCTGTGGATGCCCCCATGCCGGCAGGGATGATGCAGAGCCCAATGTACCGCCAGCAGCTCGAGAACTTGAGAACACACATGGTGCAATGCCTTACCTTCCCCTTCCCCTCCTTTCCCTTCCCCCCACCCGGCCTGCCCCCATCCCCACAGGGATGATGCAGAGCCCAATGTACCGCCAGCAGCTAGAGAGCATGCAAAGCCTTACTTTCTACATTCCCTTACCTTCCTGTCCCGTTTCCTTTTCTCGTGCTCTCTCGCGCTGCCCCTCCCCCCCGCTTGCCCCCATACCCACAGGGATGATGCAGAGCCCAATGTACCGCCAGCAGCTAGAGAGCATGCTGTGAGTTTCGCCTCTCTCCCCCGCATGCCCTCCCCTCTCTCCTTTCTTCCTCAGCCCTTTTTTGTCTTGTTCCCTTCATTCACCATCCACCCTTACTTCTTCGCAACAACACCTCCTCTCCTCCTTCCATTGCATGCTCCCTCCCTTCCTCACTCCTCGCTCGTCCCATGTCTCGTTTTCCATTAAGCCATTGCCCTTATCCACCCCTCCGCTCCGCCTTTCCCCGCACTACCTCTTCACCGCTAAGCTTCACCCACTGCTGTCCCCCGTTGCCTTGCTTCTCATCACGACGCTTCCCTTTTCTTTTCCTCGCTCCCCTGTGCATCCCCGTCCTCCCTGCAGCGACAACACGGGCGGCACGGCACGGGCTTTGACGACCGAGCACGGGCGGACATGATAAAGAGCTTCGATCTTTGCTGTCCCGCGTTGCCCTCGCCTTCCAGTCTAGTTTTGAGGCGCCTCAAAACTGGGCGGCACGGCACGGGCTTTGACGACCGAGAACTGGACGTGCCTCGATCTTGCCCGTCCCGTCCCGCGTTGCCTTTGCCTTCCTCCCGTCCTCCCTTGTCCTCCCTTTGCGTGCACCCTGCAGCGACAACATGGGCGGCACAGCACGGGCTTTGACGACCGAGCACTGGACATGATAAAGAGCTTCGATCTCAACACCCGCTCCTTGTTGCTTCCCTTCTCTTCCCCTCCTCTCTCCCCCTCCTCCCCACAGCGACAACATGGGCGGCACGGGCTTTGATGACAGAGTCCTCGACATGATGAAGAGCTTCGACCTCAACAGCCCCGAAGTCAAGGACCAGTTCTGTGAGTTGCTGTCTTCACCAGGGGGCAGTTCTCCATGCTTGGTTTGGGTCCAAGCTGCAATTCTCTCAGTTCACAGACCCCTTGGGTTTATCAAGCTCAAGATGATAAAGAGCTTCGAGTCGACCATGTCACCAGAGGACGTGGAGGCTAAGATCATGTCCAACCCTAACCACCCTAACCTCCTCGTACATGTCTTTCACCGCACTCAACCAACCCGCATCTCTCCACCCTTACCCCTCCCCCCCTATCAGCCCAGCTCGGCATGTCACCAGAGGACGTGGTGGGAAAAATCATGTCCAACCCGAAGCTCGCCTTCAATGCCTGCCCGGTCGGCGCACCTCAATCTCCTGTTATCTCTCCTTGTTACTCCCTTTTCTCCCCCACCAGCCCAGCTGAGCATGTCACCAGAGGACGTGGTGGGCAAAATCATGTCCAACCCGAAGCTCGCCTTCAATGCCTGCCCGGTCGGCGCACCTCAATCTCCTGTTATCTCTCCTTGTTACTCCCTTTTCTCCCCCACCAGCCCAGCTGAGCATGTCACCAGAGGACGTGGTGGGCAAAATCATGTCCAACCCGAAGCTCCTAGTATATATGTCTGTCACCGCACTCAACCAACCCGTATCTCTCCTCCCTTACCACTATCCCCCCCTATCAGCCCAGCTGGGCATGTCACCAGAGGACGTGGTGGGTAAAATCATGTCCAACCCGAAGCTCGCCGCTGCCTTCCAGAACCCCCGCCTGCAGGCCGCCATCCTCGATGTGAGCCCTTTTTCTATACTCACTATAGTCATCAGTATGCGGGTTCAATATAAGCATTCTTTCTATACTTGATATACGTATCCTGGCTCGTGTTTGATATTAGCATTCTTCTTTGCGCTCAATATAAACGAGCACTCTGCTGTCTGCTGCTTTGCTTCTTTGCTGCACCACAATATACTGCGTGCTTATTTGCATGCTCTCTGCTTCTGGCCCACCACGCTATGTTTTTGTGTCACATGTGTCTGCATCTGGATATGCATGTGCATCTGCACGAATCTACTTTTTATCCTGATGTCATGGCATGGCATGGCATGGCATGCATCCCAACAGGTCTCCTCCAATCCTGTGAACTGGACCAAGTACCAAAACGATGCTGAGGTAAGCAAGCACAATGCTGACATGAGCAATAACGACACCGATCAATCAAATCAGTGCAGGCTGGACGGTAGCAGTACCCAGCAGCCCTGCAGAGTGGTGTCCGCATCTGCCATAAGATACCCAAGTGGTTACTGCATTGCTGCTCCCGTGGCTGCGTAGCAGTTCCCACCTTTCATTAACCATTTTGAACCGTGGGAACAGCTCGCTAGCCTAGTCATTTCATGGCTCCGACCAGCTCGTAAGCACCTCATCCTTGATCTTTTCCCTCGTCAAGACTGCTTCCCTTGGTGGCCCGAGGATAGTTTTAGATCGCAAGAGAACGTTCTCTCGTGCCGCTGTGCCAGGATGCGCCTTCTCTGCATTCCCCACATGAATTCGCGTGATTAACGGTTTCTAGATGCTTCAAAAACAACCCTGTTTATAATCTGCATCCCCCATGAAACCGTGTCGCACTGACTCTGCTCTGACCTGTGTGCTGCATTGGTCGCCCACTGCTGACAGGGAATGGGCATCTTTAATCGAGATTTTGAAGCTCTTTGCCCCTCCACACTTATGCTCTGTTGCGCTCCTTCCTGAATGTGTCTTCTCCACGTTTTCCCGTCCACTGCATTGTCCTCTCCCTCGCCCAAATCAGGGTCGTAATAACATTGTCTAACAGGTGATAGAGATCTTCAACCAGGCCCAGATTTCAGAAGCTCTTTGCCCCGCCACACTGGTTGTGCCTATTCGGCATTGTCCACTTACCTGCATCGTCCCCCCCTCCCCTCCCCCACCCAAACCTGTGTCATGCTTACACTGGCTGGCAGGTGATGGAGATTTTCAACCAGATCCAGGAGCTCTTTGCCCCGCGCTGATTCTTCGTTTCGCTCCGCGGTGCTCTTGCTCCCTTTGGGTATTTAGATTACAAGAAAACACTAGCTGTCTCAGTCCGTTTTTTGTGTTATGAGAAGCAAGACTAGGCTAGTAGTGAAAGGCCACTACATAGAGAGAGGAACTCCCACTGTTGCAGCCTGTGGTTTGTTGGCTGACATAAGTTGTGTAGTGAGATGAGATAATAGGTTGATTCCCCAGACTGTTTGCTGATGTGTAACAAAGGCGAGAACAGCTTGTGGCTGTTCCAAAGTGTTGTCATACATTCTCCTAATTTGCAGAGGAACTGAATGCCAGTTTTTTAGTCCCATCATTCTGTACTTAGACGAGAAAAATGATATTGACGTTTCTTTTGTTGTTTTTAGCACCGCTCTGAATCATTCGACAAAGCATCCGTACCGTACAAAATCAGTCAGCTCGAATGCTGTAAATCGACCCACCAACATTTGGAGACACAGTCGACGCTGCATCCGTGCGATTCCTATGCATCTCGGCTTCATCACCCTGACGTGTCGCGCTTGAACACGGTAAACCGTTCAGGAAAGGTTTTATAGATCGTCAAACCGCTTTGAAACTTGGAGAACCGACAGGAGGGGCATCGCAGCAAATCCAGCCGAGAGCGCCGTGGAAGGGGGTTCCGTCGAGGCAAATCTACACTCCCAAATTTGTCCCCCCACTTGCCTCGTTTATCAATCACAAGCGCGCAGACGGTGTTCCCCCCACCAGGGCCCCTTCCCCCTTCCCCTTCTCTACCCCACATTTCCTCCGTTCCCCCTCCCCGTCTCGTCCCCATTTCCGCCGTCCCCTCCTTTTCTTCCTTCCCCTCTCGCTCCTGGCCGCCATTTATTGCTTCGACACTCGGGAAACACCTGCCAAACCAAACCAAGTCGTTGTCCCTCCATGCCACCACACTCGACGTAGTTGAGCCCACACAAAGCCGTAGAGACATATTACTCGGTCTGAAGTTATTGCGTTCTCCTGTTTGTATCAAGAAAACATCTCTGCTTGCTCCAACCTTGTCGCCTATCCGCCACTCGCTGTCGATCGTTTCAGATTCACATTCTCTGATACCGCAACAGCCTGTTTAGCTGAGTGTATACACGTCAGCCGCCATGTCAGTCCGAACGCTGCTGCTAGCTGCTCTCCTTTCACTGTCGATATTGGCGACAGCTGCGGACCCGTTGGCGACACCTGCGAACTCGTTGGCGACAGCTGCGGACCCGTTGGCGACAGCTGCGGACCCGTTGGCGACAGCTGCGGACCCGTTGGCGACAGCTGCGGACCCGTTAGCGACAGCTGCGGCCGCGGCAAAAACGGCGGGAATCATAGGGGAGCTGAAGGCGCTGCGGCAGAAATTGATGCTAAATCCCCGTTTGAGATACCTCGTCATGAGTCAAGTTCTTTCTCAGCTGATTACTCAAGGAAGTAAGTCCAATTACAATCATCGTCGTAATTTGTATTTTTTCCGGCTGTGTGATTCCAGAGCCTACCTGTGCTGACTTCGAGAAAACTCAGGTCTGCATCTCCCTTGTTCCCTTTCCCTGCCGCGACTCGCGCTCGAATAACAGGGCTGTTAATCTCATTTCATACTCTACCAGCAACATACTCTCTTTTCCCGCCCAGACTCGTGTCATGCCCCCGTATACACCGTTTTACACCTTTCTCGCAACCATCGATTGGCACGAAACGCACATTTCGTCGTCCCTCGATTTTTTTCCCATCCGCTCTACTCGCCCCTTGCAGAAACCATTCCCGTCGCCATCGGCCGGATCCCTTTCTTTCACATCACCATCTTTTGAGGCGCCGTAGACTTCATTAATTGACATGATTCGCTCATTCCGTCATCCCTCACCTCCTTCCCATCCTCTCCACTCGTCCCTCGCAGACGCCCTCCCCACCGCCATGGACTTGACCCTTTTCATTCACACCACCATCTTAATACCCACCGACGCCGCGCTTCTGTCGAGTGGCCTCCTCCCGAATCTAAAAAACCCGGGAGCCTCTCTCAACCTCTTTAAGAGCCTCTCCTTCAACATTATAAAAGGCAAGAAGCGGTTTGCCAAGCTGAAAGCTCTTCCAGAGGGAAAGTCGGTTGCGCTTCTGCTGAACAATGGGAAGTTGTTTCGGCACACAGTGAATCCTGGGTGGGGCATGAATCAAGGCACTAGCGTGGCGTTCGCGCTCAAGGGAAAGAATAAAAAACAGTGGTCGAGAATTCTTGACAAGAATCTGCACAGGGGAAGCTTCGTTGCTCATGGGGTTGACCGCCTGCAGACTGCTTGAGCCGAATGATCAATCCAGAAGACGCATTTTTTGGGACTGCTTTAGTGGGAGGTTAAGCAACCCGACCCACGGAAAGCTTCCTCATGTTCATATTGTTTGTCGGGTAAATAAGGTTCCCTTGAATGGATCTAGCTTGAGATGGGTGAACCTCTTGTTCATCGTCAGTTGATCTTGATTCTTGCATTTAGGTGGCAGGTTGAAACGGCTGGGCCTCCACTTGCGATGCATGACTTCTTGGGAAGGAAGCCAACCCAACTGTCTTTTGTTTCAGCTGGGAGCCTGGGACAGCCAGTTTTCCACGGACAAAATAAACCTTATGTCATTCAGATGTAAGGTGATCGTGTCTATAATGTCATTGACACTGTATGCACTAGGCATTTCTGGCACAATTGCCAGTTGCTTGCAGTTCCGTGCTACTACCTGCTTAGTAGCGGATGGGCTACTGCTTTTATTTTTATTTTCTAATATATACTGCACAAGGTAGTGTTCTGTACCATAGGCACTTATTCTGCTCTAACGAGGAGACCCGCTCGGCTGATGTTTGGGTGCAAAACCTTGGCCCTGATCGGTAGCCCCTAAGCCGAGTAAACTTCCGCTGCGTTGGCACTCGAACAGGAGTACACCGACCCACACGTGTGGGCACGTGTCGGTGGGTGCTTCCCCTTTCCTCCTGTATGTTTCCCAACTCCGAGGGGTGGTCGGCACGCCCTCGAAACTCCTCGTAGGGAAGTTTCGAGGGTCGTAAGCGCGATTTCCTTAGAAACACTGTTGCTTTCGGCCCAGACTGCCCCACTCGTCACCAAGAAAATTAATTCCCACAAAGGGGTAACTGGACCACAAAATGACACCATCAAGAACCACTGGGAGTGGATGGGAAGTTCTAAAGGTGTTTGAGGAGGGTGTCCCCGCAAGAACAAAAACAAAATATGCGGTGTTATCGGGTTCGCCCTTCGAGGCCTTACTCCGAGTAAGCGAGGCTTACTCTCCCAAAATGCTGGAGTAAGCGGAGTTCCTCCGCGGAGCTAAGTTTGCCCGTGAACGAAACTTCCTGAAGGGCCACTTCGAGTCGTACTCCGAGTAGGTAGTTCAGCGATCGTTTGCTCATTTTGGCTTACTCGGAGTAAGCCACGTCGGAGTGAGTAAACTTCCGTCACACGTGCGAAGCGGGAGTTAGTGAACTCCCTCGAAGCTCACCTACTCCGCTTAAGGGTGGGTAATTACCTTCTGGGTAACTCACATCGAGCCCGCTGACGTCAAAAGTCACCTACGTGGCTCGATGGTACCCGTCAGATCATGCGCGCCCCTTCGTGGTACCCATCTTCCCTCCGTGGTACCCATCTTCCCTGCGTGGTACCCATCAACTGTGCGCGAATTCCCTGACTGGTACCGCAACATTTCAACCGAGCTGTACACCGTACACCAAGAGTTTCAATGCGTTTCTCAGTATATTGTCTTAACGTTTACAAGCTCAATAGAGTCACAAGCCCGAAGTGCCACCTGATCGAGTCAATTTATCACACCCATTACCTATAATAAAGTGTAGAAGAAAAGCTGGATTTTTAAATAAAATAGCATTCATTGGGTAGATTTGTTTAGGCTAAGAAACATCGACAATATAACGTGCTATAAGATAACTTAAAACTGATATATTGCATCAGCCGAAAAAAAAACATCCGTATAGCAAACAATCAACTTACACGTAAAGTATATATTGACTTAAGGTATATTTGATTTTCATTATATGTATTGTTTTGTTTCCAAAAACCAACGAATGTACGTATTATTTGTTTATGATTTTATGTTTAGCTTTGGGGGTGCATGCTCAATTTATTTGCATACAACCTTATAAACTTTGTTCAAATAACATACTGAGCGTTGCGAAACATGGTCGCAAGATTCACTCTACCTGTCGTTCAGTGGTGCGAGCTTACGAAGGTTCGGAGGTAATGTGAGGATTTTAGAAGAGGAGTTGATTTCTTTCTATGTTGCACTCTGTCCAGTGTAAGGCACGTTCAAACATTTATGTTCAAGGGTATTAATGTTCAATAAGCGTTTGTAAACGTTGTTATTAATATACTGAAAAACGCATTGAAACCCTTGTTGTACAGTGTACAGCTCGGTTGAAATGTTGCGGTACCAGTCAGGGAATTCGCGCACAGTTGATGGGTACCACGCAGGGAAGATGGGTACCACGGAGGGAAGATGGGTACCACGAAGGGGCGCGCATGATCTGACGGGTACCATCGAGCCACGTAGGTGACTTCTGACGTCAGCGGCTTCGATGTTGGTTACCCAGAAGGTAATTACCCCTTAAGGGTGGTACTGATCAGGGCCCTTGTCCTATGGCTTGGATCTCTGGTCCCTCGAAACTCCACCCGCCTCTACGAAAAGCCTCCGTACCGTACAGAACCAGATTGAGTCAGTATACAACAGTTACGCCCGACCCACCGACCAAAGTGGAATGAAGGGTCGAGGCAACATCTCTGTGTTGCCTCGAGCCTGCGTCACCTTTCTGCATCATTGTGACGTGTCACAACTGGAAGACGGCAAACCGTTCAGAAACGTGATCACCGTTTCCTTAACCGTTAAGAACCACACCTTTGAGGTGGAGGTACAGTACTTCATGTTCAGGTAGACATTTCCTGTCTTTCTGGCTTCACTACTGTACGTAACGGGAGACCCGCTGCAGTGGAGTGGAGACACCCCTTTTCCCCGACCCCGACCAAGCTCCCCTTCCTCCTCCCCTCCCCCAAACAAACCCACCCCGCCCCGCTCACCCCCCTTCCGGATCATCTCCCGTCAATTCTTCAGATTCTCTGCCCACATAGCCGCCAACAATGCCAAACACCTGCCACAGTCGTCGTCTCTTTGACCCAAACCAGACCCAAGATAGATTTCACAACAGAGCCAGACCAAAGTCGTTAGCTTACAGGACTAGCATATATTTGTATCAAGCACACCCCTCTCGCTGTCCTAACATTTGTCGCTTTTTCCGGCAGTCCCTATTTAGCGTTACAGTGTAAACATGTCATCACAATATATTGTAGTTCTTCTCCTTTCATTGTCGATATTGGTGTCAGCTTCTGCGGCGCCAACGACGGCGCAGATAATATTGGAGCTGAAGGATTTACAGAGCAAGCTGGTTAAGAATCCCTTCCTGAGATACCTTGGCATGAGTCAAGTTATTTCTCAGCTTATTGTTCAAGGAGGTGCGACCTCCACGCTGTTCCCCAATGTTCGCCTTTACAATCTTCCGTGATGTTTAATAAGATTTTAGGCGTATCTCCTCTTCCTAAAAAAAAAATAGAAGTTTCGTTTTATTCCGCTCGCTGCGTCTCCTTGCCTTTCTTTCCCTGCTGCGAACCCGACGTAACGGAAACTGCGGGGATATCTTTCGGAGGGTTCCTCCGCCATGACTTCCGTGCTTCTAAGCGCCAATGCCAATAACTCGTTTATTTCGCGTTGACGATCGTCAGCCCCCCATTGACACGCTTCTCCCCCCCATTGACACGCAACCATCAATGATATTGATTCGCTCGCTAATTTTATCTTTCGCCTTTTTTCCATCCGTTCCACTCCGTCCCACGCAGAAACCGTTCCCGGCAGCATCGACTGGCCCCCCTTCGCCTACAACACGCTCCTAATCCCCACCGACGCCGCGCTGAGCGCCAGTGGCCTTCTCGTCGAGCCGAAAACCCCTCAAGAGGCACTCGACCTCTTTAAAAGCGTCTCCTACAACATCATCAAGGGCATGAAGCCGTTCTCCCAGTTAAAGGCTCTTGCTGCTGGAAAGTCCGTGACGCTTTTGCTGAGCAACGGAAAGTTGTTTCGGCAGAAGGTGAATCATGGGTGGGGCTTAAATCAAGGCACTGCTGTGGCGTTCGCGCTCAAGGGGAAGAATAAAACTCAGTGGTCGAAGATACTTGACAAAGATCTGCACAAGGGAAGCAGTTTCATTGCTCATGGGGTTAACCGCCTGCAGACTACTGGTGCTGCAGGTGCTTGAATGGTCGGAAGGAAGCAGATCTCGGGAAGTACGGTACGAGAGTGAGGGTTCCGTCAACCCACAACTTAGTGTATAAAAGGTGATTTGAGTCCAACTTTACTGGGTCCGGCTGGCTTGAGATGAGTGAACCGTCATTCATCATCTGTTTATCATAATGTATGAATGTATAATGGTGGCATATTGAAGCAGCTGTGCCCTGCTTGTAACACCAGGCTCTGTTTTGGTTGGAAAGGAAAGCATGTGCCTGTCTATCATACTCACATCAACAAAAGCATGTTTTGAGTGTTATTTGTATTAGCAGCATGTTACATATCAGCATTGCCAAAGGTATAAGAATGAATGTGCAGATGCTTGTAGCGCAAGAAACACGCTGTCTGTAGTGCCTGGTCCCACAACCGAGACACACCTCTTCACCCACCACCACCACGCTGCTACGCTGCGAATTCTGATTGACAGTTACATTGCACATGTGACAAAATTGAGGGAGTTGGCATAGCACAGTGCCTGGTTCCAACCCAACGCACACTGTGCTGTATCCGGAAGGGGGCTGGGATGGGGAGCCTTCCACCCCCCCATCTCCCCCTCGGCCTTCTCCCGCCTTCCCTGCCCTGCCCTGAGGCCTCGATTCCCCCCGATCCGACCGATCCCCCGCCTCCACCGCACCCTTGTCTTCTCCGCCCTGCTGTCCCCTCCCGTAGCCGCCCAAAGCCTAAACCCAGCCCAGGCAGCGGTTTCGGGAAGACAGCGAAACCACTGGTTCTCGAAAACTCGAACCAGCCGACACGTCAGCAAGACCTGCCTGCTCCTGTGGCTTGAGTTGCGTTGCACTGCGAGCGATATGCAAATGTGTTGAGCTGTGAATTGTAGATTTCAACCTTTCTGAACCGAATCATACTCATGTGGAGTCTGTAACTTTGCAGCCATGGCTTTTCCCCCAACATTTTACAATTTTCTCTTCCCACCACGCTTTTCACACCCCCAACCCACCACAAGACCAGTCTTTTCGTGCTTGTTGGTCTGGTCATCCCTCCCCAATAATCATGTGTCTGTGGCAGAACAACCTCGTCAATGCATTTGGCTAACTACAGACTGTCTCGAAGTCTCCTGTTTCAGCCCCTACCTAGTCCTGTCGGGCAGCTCTCCTCCCCGCATGTCACAATTACGTCTAGGCCTGAGTCTTGAGACATTTCGTTCACAATTCATTCAATTCATGCAGCAACGATAGCGTTCGCACTACGAGAGGCCATGTCAACTCGAGCTATTCTAGCTGTAGTCCTTACGCTGACCCTGGTCACTTCAGCCGTGGCGGCGCCTACAACGCAGCAGATATTAAAGGAGCTAACGGAGCTACAGAAAAAGCTATCGAAGCGATTCCAATTCATAATCATGAATCAAGCAGTCGGTCAAATTATCAAGCGGGGAGGTAGGCCCTTAGCGCCGGTGTCTGCCTTTTGGGAGGTTTATGTGCTTGCGTTTTTGCTGGGTCTTCGGGACATGCTAGAAGAGACCAATTTCGTTGCATCATCTTCACTCCTGCCTTTTCCATGCCACTCTCCAACCCTTCCTATTTCCGTCCTTTGCAGCGACGGTTCCCGGTGACATAGACTGGTCCCCGTTTTTTTACAACACTGTCTTAATCCCTACCGATTTTGCGCTCAAGGAGAGTGGCCTCCTCAACGAGCCAAAAACCCCGGAAGATGCGATCAATCTTATGAAAAGCATTTCCTACAACGTCGTCAAGGGCATGTATCCATTTTCCAAGATAAAAAACCTAGCTCTTGGGTCGTCGATCCCGCTTCTACTCAACAACGGCAAGCTTTTCCGGAGAAAAAAAGTTTCTGGATTTGCGATGTTCAAGACTACAGAAGTGGCGCTTGCCCTGAAGGGGAAACCGAAAGGCAATTGGTCGACCATCGTTGGCAAGAACCTGCATAGGGGAAGCAGCTTCATGTGCATTGGCGTAAGCCGATTACAGACCACTGGTGCTTGAGGGCAACCGAGTCAAGGAAATGCTCGAGCGAGACTGTCGTAGAGGAGTTCAATTGTTTTGTTGATTTAAGAGTAGATGGCTTGTTATCCAGAAAGCTAGGAATTGGTTTGTTGGATACTATGTATTCATGGTCTAACAAGGCAGTACGGGATGGGAGTGGGGTTTGGGAATAAGGGGGGCAAAGTGGACGGTGCATTCATTGTAACGCTTGCATTTTTAGGGTGCATTGTAGCTGGTGCAATGGGTTGGTATCTGGGTCCACAGGAAGTCTGTTAGTGCAATATTCTCTAACGTAGTTGATAATATTGCATGTATTGTGGTCAAGAATTCTGGTTGTAAACGCAAAAAGCAAGAAAAACTTCTATCCAATCTAGTAGTTGACTGACGTAATTGGAATTTGGGTAACTCAGTTTTATTAGCCAAGCTGTACTCTCCCCTTCCAATTTCAATGAAACACTCACTGTCGGATACTCCCTTCTCTCTGCTCCATCCTCGCCAAACACAGAAAACCAATTTCGCACACCACTTCACCTCTCGTCTGCCTTGATTTCTTGTGCAGTTGAATCTGCCTGCTGAATCCCGCGATCCAGCAAGCCTCGCAGCACCAGTAGTTCCAAGATCCAGCTGCGATCCCACTTAATTCCACGCGTTTCGGGAAAGTTCCAAGAGCGTTCTCCCGTTCCAGTGTGGCAACGTTCCAATAAGGTCGTAGGTTCGGCAGGCAGGCAGGCATGGAGGAGGACGATCGGTCGATCGCGGCGCCCGAGGGGAAGAACATGGCGATCGACTACGACAAGCTCGAGAGGGACGTGGACCACCAGCGAGATGTGGCTCTCAAGGTAGTAGAGTTACCCGGTTACTTGCTTCGGCGTGCTTTCAGCCGCCGTGTACTGCAGGCCTAAGGTACAGCCATGCTGACGAGGCTTCCGGAGTCTGAGAGTGTCGTAGACGTAGCTGTGTCGTTGCCAACATCAGCATCAGCAGCATCAGTGACAAGCGTCGTAGCTCGTAGATGATACAGTCGTGTGGACGAGCTAAGAGTCGTGGATTAGAGGCGCGTCGTCGACCTGCACGAGGGACGACAGCCTTATAGCTCTTTGAGTGACGTGCATACGACGCTTATGGGACGTGCAAGCGACGTGCATGGGGCGTGACGCGCTTCGCATGTGCAAGTCGCCAACGACGGCCGTCGAGAGATGCCTGTGGAAGCGCGGTTTCTTGTAGTAAATTAATCGGGATTTTTTTCAGAGGAGTTTATTCATGGTGAATCTTTGAGGAATTGGTGTGGATTTCAAGGGCTATGGATGGGGAACGGATTCGGATTTGATATAGGTTTCATGCGGAAGCGTACAGCCTATGAGACTCGAACGCACCATGCGATGCGGATACGGTCACTGCTATTCGTCCGTCGAATCGTGCGTCAGCAAGACGCAAAAGTAAATCGTTTTAGAGTCTTTCGGAAAGATGGTCGCCTTCTGGTGTGTCCACCCCCGTTCAGTATGGGACGATTATTTCGCGTCCTACTTCAGGTCACGCCAGCTGTGCTGTTCAGGTTTAGACCCTCCGTCGTTCGTGTTCGGTCTAACCTTCTGTACCGGAATCCGATCCCTCTCAAATGCCCGGATGCGCAATTTCTTGTGCTTGCAGGAGGGAAGACTGACTGAATCTCTATGAGCGTTCACTTCTGACTTTTGAGTCGACTCACAAGTCAGATGGCAAATTTTTGGATTATATCGATCTCTTGACAGTTCTCGAGTGTGCTTCGGTGTCCTGCTGTGCGTGGATGCAATCCCTGCTACTTGAGTGCAGGACTGGACGCGCTGCTGGGCTTGGAGAAGCAGATGCGCCTGGTACGACGCCAATCTCTCTTCTCTCTCTCTCCTCACTCCTTTCTCCCTCCTCTCCCCTCCTTCTGTGCGTGGATGCAATCCCTGCTTCGTTCGTGCAGGAGGGCAGGCTGACTGAAGCTCTGGACGCGCTGCTGGGCTTGGAGAAGCAGATGCGCCTGGTACGACGCCAATCTCCCCTCCATTTCTTCCTTTTTTTCTCTCTCACTCTCTTTCACTCTTCTCTCTTTTCTCCCCTCTCCTCTCTCCCCTCTCGACTCACGCTGATACCAGTTCGTATCTGTTTAGTTGGTTGTTATGGCCCAGTCACTAATTGTCGCATCATTCAATCTGCTGGCCGCCTGAATTTGCTCACCTCAATTCGTTCACCTGAATCCGCCCACCCGAATCTGCTCACCTGAATCCGCCCACCCGAATCTGTCCACCTGAATCTTTCCACCTGAATCTTTCCACCTGAATCTTTTCACCTGAATCTTTCCACCTGAATCTTTTCACCTGAATCTTTCCACCCGAATCTGCCCATTTGAATCTGTCCTTCCTTCCACACCACATGCTTTTTGAGTCAACTCACAAGCTTTTTATTCATTCGTCTGCCTCAGAAGCTTCGTTCTAGTTTGTTGTATCAACCCAATCTCACAAATTCTCCGAGTGATATATGATCAACCGAACACATTTTCGCAAAATCCTGTTTGCCCAATGACTAACCAATCAACCAACCCACCAACCAACCCCTTCCCAGGCTGCTGACGTGGTGGGGACGCGCACGGTTGCAGTGGCCATTCTCAAGGTCTGCCACGAGGCAGCTGCGTGGAAGCTTCTCAACGAGCAGATCGTGGCGCTGTCGAAGCGCCGAGCGCAGCTGAAGCAGGTGGGACGCTCCGGTGGTGTTGAAGATTGGGATGTGGGTGATGGGTGCATGGATGGGTGGGTGAATGGGTGGGTGAATGGGTGGTGCGTGAATGGGTGATGGATGATGGATGGGTGGGTGGGTGATGGATGGGTGGGTAAATGGGTGATGGGTGAATGGTTGATGGATGATGGATGGGTGGATGGGTGATGGGGGTGGGTGATGGATGGGTGGGTGGTGGATGTGTGGGTGATGGGTGAGTGGGCCATGCATCATGCATCATCCATCGTCTATCATTTATCAAGGATCATGCATCATCATGCATCACTCATCATCCATCATGCGCCATGCCAATTCCCATCCTTTTCCCATCCCCATCCATCCCCAACTCCAATCCGATCCCCATAACTCCCATGCACGGATGCCCATCTTTATGCATTATCGCTCATGCCCATCCCCACACAACGCTCATGCCCGGATGCCCATCTTTATGCATTATCGCTCATGCCCATCCCCACACAACGCTCATGCCCGGATGCCCATCTTTATGCATTATCGCTCATGCCCATCCCCACACAACGCTCATGCCCGGATGCCCATCTTTATGCATTATCGCTCATGCCCATCCCCACACAACGCTCATGCCCGGATGCCCATCTTTATGCATTATCGCTCATGCCCATCCCCACACAACGCTCATGCCCGGATGCCCATCTTTATGCATTATCGCTCATGCCCATCCCCACACAACGCTCATGCCCGGATGCCCATCTTTATGCATTATCGCTCATGCCCATCCCCACACAACGCTCATGCCCGGATGCCCATCTTTATGCATTATCGCTCATGCCCATCCCCACACAACGCTCATGCCCGGATGCCCATCTTTATGCATTATCGCTCATGCCCATCCCCACACAACGCTCATGCCCGGATGCCCATCTTTATGCATTATCGCTCATGCCCATCCCCACACAACGCTCATGCCCGGATGCCCATCTTTATGCATTATCGCTCATGCCCATCCCCACACAACGCTCATGCCCGGATGCCCATCTTTATGCATTATCGCTCATGCCCACACAACGCTCATGCCCGGATGCCCATCTTTATGCATTATCGCTCATGCCCATCCCCACACAACGCTCATGCCCGGATGCCCATCTTTATGCATTATCGCTCATGCCCATCCCCACACAACGCTCATGCCCGGATGCCCATCTTTATGCATTATCGCTCATGCCCATCCCCACACAACGCTCATGCCCGGATGCCCATCTTTATGCATTATCGCTCATGCCCATCCCCACACAACGCTCATGCCCGGATGCCCATCTTTATGCATTATCGCTCATGCCCATCCCCACACAACGCTCATGCCCGGATGCCCATCTTTATGCATTATCGCTCATGCCCATCCCCACACAACGCTCATGCCCGGATGCCCATCTTTATGCATTATCGCTCATGCCCATCCCCACACAACGCTCATGCCCGGATGCCCATCTTTATGCATTATCGCTCATGCCCATCCCCACACAACGCTCATGCCCGGATGCCCATCTTTATGCATTATCGCTCATGCCCATCCCCACACAACGCTCATGCCCGGATGCCCATCTCTATGCATTATCGCTCATGCCCATCCCCACACAACGCTCATGCCCGGATGCCCATCTTTATGCATTATCGCTCATGCCCATCCCCACACAACGCTCATGCCCGGATGCCCATCTTTATGCATTATCGCTCATGCCCATCCCCACACAACGCTCATGCCCGGATGCCCATCTTTATGCATTATCGCTCATGCCCATCCCCACACAACGCTCATGCCCGGATGCCCATCTTTATGCATTATCGCTCATGCCCATCCCCACACAACGCTCATGCCCGGATGCCCATCTTTATGCATTATCGCTCATGCCCATCCCCACACAACGCTCATGCCCGGATGCCCATCTTTATGCATTATCGCTCATGCCCATCCCCACACAACGCTCATGCCCGGATGCCCATCTTTATGCATTATCGCTCATGCCCATCCCCACACAACGCTCATGCCCGGATGCCCATCTTTATGCATTATCGCTCATGCCCATCCCCACACAACGCTCATGCCCGGATGCCCATCTTTATGCATTATCGCTCATGCCCATCCCCACACAACGCTCATGCCCGGATGCCCATCTTTATGCATTATCGCTCATGCCCATCCCCACACAACGCTCATGCCCGGATGCCCATCTCTATGCATTATCGCTCATGCCCATCCCCACACAACGCTCATGCCCGGATGCCCATCTTTATGCATTATCGCTCATGCCCATCCCCACACAACGCTCATGCCCGGATGCCCATCTTTATGCATTATCGCTCATGCCCATCCCCACACAACGCTCATGCCCGGATGCCCATCTTTATGCATTATCGCTCATGCCCATCCCCACACAACGCTCATGCCCGGATGCCCATCTTTATGCATTATCGCTCATGCCCATCCCCACACAACGCTCATGCCCGGATGCCCATCTTTATGCATTATCGCTCATGCCCATCCCCACACAACGCTCATGCCCGGATGCCCATCTTTATGCATTATCGCTCATGCCCATCCCCACACAACGCTCATGCCCGGATGCCCATCTCTATGCATTATCGCTCATGCCCATCCCCACACAACGCTCATGCCCGGATGCCCATCTTTATGCATTATCGCTCATGCCCATCCCCACACAACGCTCATGCCCGGATGCCCATCTTTATGCATTATCGCTCATGCCCATCCCCACACAACGCTCATGCCCGGATGCCCATCTTTATGCATTATCGCTCATGCCCATCCCCACACAACGCTCATGCCCGGATGCCCATCTTTATGCATTATCGCTCATGCCCATCCCCACACAACGCTCATGCCCGGATGCCCATCTTTATGCATTATCGCTCATGCCCATCCCCACACAACGCTCATGCCCGGATGCCCATCTTTATGCATTATCGCTCATGCCCATCCCCACACAACGCTCATGCCCGGATGCCCATCTTTATGCATTATCGCTCATGCCCATCCCCACACAACGCTCATGCCCGGATGCCCATCTTTATGCATTATCGCTCATGCCCATCCCCACACAACGCTCATGCCCGGATGCCCATCTTTATGCATTATCGCTCATGCCCATCCCCACACAACGCTCATGCCCGGATGCCCATCTTTATGCATTATCGCTCATGCCCATCCCCACACAACGCTCATGCCCGGATGCCCATCTCTATGCATTATCGCTCATGCCCATCCCCACACAACGCTCATGCCCGGATGCCCATCTTTATGCATTATCGCTCATGCCCATCCCCACACAACGCTCATGCCCGGATGCCCATCTTTATGCATTATCGCTCATGCCCATCCCCACACAACGCTCATGCCCGGATGCCCATCTTTATGCATTATCGCTCATGCCCATCCCCACACAACGCTCATGCCCGGATGCCCATCTTTATGCATTATCGCTCATGCCCATCCCCACACAACGCTCATGCCCGGATGCCCATCTTTATGCATTATCGCTCATGCCCATCCCCACACAACGCTCATGCCCGGATGCCCATCTCTATGCATTATCGCTCATGCCCATCCCCACACAACGCTCATGCCCGGATGCCCATCTTTATGCATTATCGCTCATGCCCATCCCCACACAACGCTCATGCCCGGATGCCCATCTTTATGCATTATCGCTCATGCCCATCCCCACACAACGCTCATGCCCGGATGCCCATCTTTATGCATTATCGCTCATGCCCATCCCCACACAACGCTCATGCCCGGATGCCCATCTTTATGCATTATCGCTCATGCCCATCCCCACACAACGCTCATGCCCGGATGCCCATCTTTATGCATTATCGCTCATGCCCATCCCCACACAACGCTCATGCCCGGATGCCCATCTTTATGCATTATCGCTCATGCCCATCCCCACACAACGCTCATGCCCGGATGCCCATCTTTATGCATTATCGCTCATGCCCATCCCCACACAACGCTCATGCCCGGATGCCCATCTCTATGCATTATCGCTCATGCCCATCCCCACACAACGCTCATGCCCGGATGCCCATCTTTATGCATTATCGCTCATGCCCATCCCCACACAACGCTCATGCCCGGATGCCCATCTTTATGCATTATCGCTCATGCCCATCCCCACACAACGCTCATGCCCGGATGCCCATCTTTATGCATTATCGCTCATGCCCATCCCCACACAACGCTCATGCCCGGATGCCCATCTTTATGCATTATCGCTCATGCCCATCCCCACACAACGCTCATGCCCGGATGCCCATCTTTATGCATTATCGCTCATGCCCATCCCCACACAACGCTCATGCCCGGATGCCCATCTTTATGCATTATCGCTCATGCCCATCCCCACACAACGCTCATGCCCGGATGCCCATCTTTATGCATTATCGCTCATGCCCATCCCCACACAACGCTCATGCCCGGATGCCCATCTTTATGCATTATCGCTCATGCCCATCCCCACACAACGCTCATGCCCGGATGCCCATCTTTATGCATTATCGCTCATGCCCATCCCCACACAACGCTCATGCCCGGATGCCCATCTTTATGCATTATCGCTCATGCCCATCCCCACACAACGCTCATGCCCGGATGCCCATCTCTATGCATTATCGCTCATGCCCATCCCCACACAACGCTCATGCCCGGATGCCCATCTTTATGCATTATCGCTCATGCCCATCCCCACACAACGCTCATGCCCGGATGCCCATCTTTATGCATTATCGCTCATGCCCATCCCCACACAACGCTCATGCCCGGATGCCCATCTTTATGCATTATCGCTCATGCCCATCCCCACACAACGCTCATGCCCGGATGCCCATCTCTATGCATTATCGCTCATGCCCATCCCCACACAACGCTCATGCCCGGATGCCCATCTTTATGCATTATCGCTCATGCCCATCCCCACACAACGCTCATGCCCGGATGCCCATCTTTATGCATTATCGCTCATGCCCATCCCCACACAACGCTCATGCCCGGATGCCCATCTTTATGCATTATCGCTCATGCCCATCCCCACACAACGCTCATGCCCGGATGCCCATCTTTATGCATTATCGCTCATGCCCATCCCCACACAACGCTCATGCCCGGATGCCCATCTTTATGCATTATCGCTCATGCCCATCCCCACACAACGCTCATGCCCGGATGCCCATCTTTATGCATTATCGCTCATGCCCATCCCCACACAACGCTCATGCCCGGATGCCCATCTTTATGCATTATCGCTCATGCCCATCCCCACACAACGCTCATGCCCGGATGCCCATCTTTATGCATTATCGCTCATGCCCATCCCCACACAACGCTCATGCCCGGATGCCCATCTTTATGCATTATCGCTCATGCCCATCCCCACACAACGCTCATGCCCGGATGCCCATCTTTATGCATTATCGCTCATGCCCATCCCCACACAACGCTCATGCCCGGATGCCCATCTTTATGCATTATCGCTCATGCCCATCCCCACACAACGCTCATGCCCGGATGCCCATCTTTATGCATTATCGCTCATGCCCATCCCCACACAACGCTCATGCCCGGATGCCCATCTTTATGCATTATCGCTCATGCCCATCCCCACACAACGCTCATGCCCGGATGCTCATCTTTATGCATTATCGCTCATGCCCATCCCCACACAACGCTCATGCCCGGATGCCCATCTTTATGCATTATCGCTCATGCCCATCCCCACACAACGCTCATGCCCGGATGCCCATCTTTATGCATTATCGCTCATGCCCATCCCCACACAACGCTCATGCCCGGATGCCCATCTTTATGCATTATCGCTCATGCCCATCCCCACACAACGCTCATGTCCCATCCCCTCCCCCCAGGTGGTGGCAGCGATGGTGCAGGAGGCCATGAAGTACGTGGATGACGCACCTGATGACGTCGTCCGCGAGGAGCTCATCAAGACGCTGAGTGGGGTTACGGCAGGAAAGGTGCGGTTCTGAGGGGAGGGGGGCGAGGTGGGGAGGGGGGCGAGGTGGGGAGGGGGGCGAAGTGCGGCTGTGAGGGGAGGGGGAGGGGAGGGGGGGAGTGAAGGGGAGAAGGGGAGAAGGGGAGAAGGGGAGAGGGGGAGAGGGGGCCAAGGTGCGCCTTTGGGGGCTAGGTGCGCCTGGGGGGAGGGAGAGGGATGGGGATGAGGGAGAGAGCAAGGTACTCTTCTGGGGGTTGGGGGGGAGGGAGAGGGGCATGGTGCGCCTGGCGCAGCAGTGGTCCATCTCTCTGCCCATGCCTGGAGCAGTGGCGCAAGCAGCCATGATTTGTTGTTGGATGCTGGCTCCGTCCATTCACCTCGCTCGCAGCCTCTCCATCCACCATCCCACTCCCCTCTCCCGCTCCCCTCAGATCTACGTGGAGATAGAGAGGGCGCGCCTGGTGAAGCGCTTGGCACAGCAGCTCCTCCCATATGCTGCTGTATCCGTCCGCTCACCTGCCTGCCTCTCCATCTCCCTCTCCTGCCTCTCCATACTCCCTCTTCTCCACCCCTCCTCCCCCCATCAGATCTACGTGGAGATAGAGAGGGCGCGCCTGGTGAAGCGCCTGGCGCGGCAGTTGTTCACCTCCCCGCCTCTCCACCTATACCCCCCGCCCCCCGTCAGATCTACGTGGAGATAGAGAGGGCGCGCCTGGTGAAGCGCCTGGCGCGGCAGTTGTTCACCTCCCCGCCTCTCCACCTATACCCCCCGCCCCCCGTCAGATCTACGTGGAGATAGAGAGGGTGCGCCTGGTGAAGCGCCTGGCGCGGCAGTTGTTCACCTCCCCGCCTCTCCACCTATACCCCCCGCCCCCCGTCAGATCTACGTGGAGATAGAGAGGGCGCGCCTGGTGAAGCGCCTGGCGCGGCAGTTGTTCACCTCCCCGCCTCTCCACCTATACCCCCCGCCCCCCGTCAGATCTACGTGGAGATAGAGAGGGCGCGCCTGGTGAAGCGCCTGGCGCGCATGAAGGAGGCGGAGGGCAAGGTGAAGGAGGCGGCAGAGATCATGCAGGAGGTGGCGGTGAGTGCCCCTTGCCTTCCCTGCTCTTGATGTGTGTGTGTGCCGTGAAGCTGCTCTTACCCTCCCATGTGAGAGGGCAAAAGGAGGCCGCTGAGATCATGCAGGAGGTGGCGGGGAGTGCCCCAGGCCCTTATTGCCCCCCTATCCTGCTCTGGTGGTGTGCTGTGAGTGTGCTGCGAGTGCTCTCTGTCGTCGTTGCAAGACGTCAAGGAGACCTCGCTCTCTTGACTGTGCTCTGAGCGTTCTGTGAGGACCCATGCCATTCGTCTCTCTAATCGTGGCAAGAGGACAAGGTGAAGGGAGGCGGCTGAGAGCGCGCAGGCGGTGGCGATGAGTGCTCTCGTGCCCAACCATGAATGTGCTGTCTGTAAGGATGCTGTGCTGTGTGTGTGCTGTGATTGCCCCATGCCATCGCTCTCTCTCGGTTCGCTGCAAGAGGGCAAGGCGAAAGAGGCGGCAGAGCATGCAGGAGGCCACGGTGTGAGTGCTCTGTCTGTCCCTCCCTGCTCTCCCTGCCTGCCTTCGCCATCCTGCCCGCTGCCATGCCGTTATGCCGCGTTCTATCCTCATTGCTACCACTTCGCCTTCCTTATGCCACTCAACCTTACCCTTTTTCCCGCCGCTCATGCCTCTCCACTCCTCTCCACTCCCCTCCACTCCTGTCCACCCCTCTCCACTCCTCTCCATCCCTCTGTGATCTGCTCTACCGCCAGGTGGAGACGTTCGGAGCCATGGCAAAGACAGAGAAGATCGACTTCATCCTCGAGCAGGTGAGCTTTCAGTTTACGTGAAACTCTTATCTTTGAGAAGGTGAAGAATCAGTTTACGAAAAAACTCTAGTCTTGAGCCCACGAAGGCGATCGTAGAGTTCACGTCAACTCAACTCACACAGTCGTATGCCCCCGAGACAGTCTGTACAGTACCCAGAGCAACCGACAGGGCGGACCTGGCGCAGGGGAGGGTCGGAGTCGACATAAGAACGACTCAGACCCTCCCCCTCTTTCCTTTCCCCCAGCACATCCCCTCCTCTCCCACCCTGTATCACCTGCGTCAGGTCAGGTCCGCCCGTCTGGACTTTGATGACTTTATGAGAACACAGATCCTTGCAAAGAAGATCAGCTGCGTTCATTCGCCTCAGAGACCGTGGAGGCTGCCGAGAAGGCAAGGTGGCAGAGGAGGAGGGGAAGACCGTGGAGTGGAGGCGTCTGAGGAGGAGATCTCTAATTGTTCCCTTCCCTTCCATCTTTCTTTCCCCTGTCCCAGGTCCGCCTGTGTCTCGACTCTGACGATTTCATGCGAGCACAGATCCTAGCCAAGAAGATCAGCCCTCGTGCATTCGCATCAGAGACCGTGGAGGCAGCTGAGAAGGCCAAGGCGGAGGCAGCTGAGAAGATGTTGAATTCTCTCTCCCCCCCTCTCTCACCCTTTTTCCCTCTACTCCAGGTGCGCCTGTGCCTGGATTCAGATGACTTCATGCGGGCGCAAATCCTCGCCAAGAAAATCAGCCCACGTGCATTTGCCTCCGAGACTGTTGAGGCAGCTGAGAAGGCCAAGGCAGAGGCAGCTGAGAAGATGTTGAACTCTCTCCCCCCCTCTCTCACCCTTTTTCCCTCTACTCCAGGTGCGCCTGTGCCTGGATTCAGATGACTTCATGAGGGCACAAATCCTCGCAAAGAAAATCAGCCCACGTGCATTTGCCTCCGAGACTGTTGAGGCGGCTGAGAAGGCCAAGGCGGAGGCAGCTGAGAAGATGTTGAATTCTCTCCCCCCCTCTCTCACCCTTTTTCCCTCTACTCCAGGTGCGCCTGTGCCTGGATTCAGATGACTTCATGAGGGCACAAATCCTCGCAAAGAAGATCAGCCCGCGTGCATTCGCCTCTGAGACCGTGGAGGCTGCTGAGAAGGCCAAGGCGGCAGAGGCGGCAGCAGCAGCGGGTGGTGGGGAGGGGAAGGAGGAGGGGAAGAAGCTGCGGAAGGGGCCGAAGGAGGAGGGGGAGATTCAGCCCGCTGCGCCTGATGTGCCCACGCTGGTGGAGCTGAAGCTCAAGTTCTACGAGCTCATGATCCGGTGAGGTGCTGTGCGGTGCTGTGTGGTTCTGTGCGGTGAGGTGAGGCTGGGTATGGTTTGAGAGTATGTGGGTGGATGAGGTGCAACCAGGTGATGATGCTGTGAGTAAGAGGACGAGGAGGAAGCGGAAGGGGCGGAAGGAGGAGGGGGAGATTCAGCCGGCTGCCCCTGATGTGCCCACGCTGGTGGAGCTGAAGCTCAAGTTCTACGAGCTCATGATCCGGTGAGGTGCTGTGCGGTTCGGTGCAGCGGGTCGCTGCAGCTGTTACCAGTGACTCATCTCATATTGGCTACTGAGGCCTGGAGATTTGCTGCTGCTATTGAAACATGTTTGACTGCTTAGGCCTCTCAATCCCCCACTCCCCTTTCCTCCATTCCCCCATCCCCCCTCCCCTTTCCTCAATCTCCCCCTCTCCCGCACTGCAGCTACCACACGAACGCGAACGACTATCTGGAGATCTGCCGGTGCTACCAGAACATCTTGGGCTGCGTAGGCCTCTCAATCCCCTCCCCCGCTCAACTCTCCTCCATTTCCCCGTCCGCCGCACTGGTTCCTCGATCTCCCCCTTCCCCTCTCTGCAGCTACCACACGAATGCAAACGACTATCTGGAGATCTGCCGGTGCTACCAGAACATCTATGACACGCCAGCAGTCAAGGCCGACCAGGAGAGGTGGATCCCGGTGAGTGTCGCTGCCTGTGCTTTTGGTGAGTGCTTGCCTGCTGCTGAAGTGATTATCTGGAGATCTGCCGGTGCTACCAGAACATATACGACACGCCAGCAGTCAAGGCCGACCAGGAGCGCTGGATCTCGGTGAGTGCTTGTCTTTGGTGGGTGCTGCTTGTGGTTGTGGTGGGTTGCAGTGGTTACCTGCTGCTGTGCTGCGTGAGTGGCTATCTAGAGATCTGTGGGTGCTACCAGAACATATACGACACGCCAGCAGTCAAGGCCGACCAGGAGAGGTGGATCCCGGTGCGTGCTTGCCTGCTGCTGTGCTGCATGAGTGCTGCTGATTGCTGTGAATGCTGCTTGCGGTGAGTGTTGAGGGGGTCTACTGTCTCGCACACTCACTCGCTCTCTTGTCGACTCTCCACTGCATCTATTCCCCCCCTACCCAGGTGCTGAAGCGGATCTGCTGGTATCTCGTGCTGGCGCCACACGGCAGCATGCAGTCGTCTCTCCTCCACTCCACCTTCGCTGACACTCACCTCCTCGACCTCCCCAAGTTCCGGTAACCCTCTTCACCTCTCTCAACCACTCTCAGCTACACTTTAGCACTTTCACCTACTCCCACCGCTCTGCACAGAAGCATGCAGTCGTCTCTCCTTCACTCCACCTTTGCCGAACCTCACCTCCTCGACCTCCCCAAGTTCCGGTAACTCTCATTCTCGTATTACCACTCTCAACTGCTCTCAAACATCTCTTAAGCGCTTTCAGATGCTCTCACTGCTCTGCACCGCTGTCTCCTAGGCCCGCACCGCAGCACGCGCACACTCCCTCCATTTCCCCTCTTCCCTCCCCTTACTCACCCTTTCTCACAGCGTCCTGCTGAAGCTGTTCATAACGACGGAGACGGTGGGGTGGCCGCAGCTGCATGCAGGGGAAGAAGCTACCTACGAGCCTCCTTTCAACTTGCTTTCTCACTCGTTCCTCCACTCCCTCCCCTCTCCTTCACAGAGCCCTACTGAAGCTGTTCATAACGATGGAGGTGGTGGGGTGGCCGCAGCTGCAGGCGGATTACAGTGCGGAGATGCAGGAGGAGAAGCCCTCCGTCTTCCTCTCATCTCGTGTACCCTTCGTCCCCCCACTCCCCTTTCCCCTGTCTCAGCGCGCTACTGAAGCTGTTCATAACGATGGAGGTGGTGGGGTGGCCGCAGCTGCAGGCGGATTACAGTGCGGAGATGCACGAGGAGAAGCCAACCGTCTTCCTCAAAGACTCCGCGCTCGAGGACCTGCGCCTGCGCGTCATTCAGCACGTACGTGCCGCTGTCCCGCTGCTCTGTGTACCTTTGTAGCGGTGCATAGACGTGTGCTCCCATCATCCCGCCCACCGCTTTCCTCGAGGACTCTGCCCTCGAGGACCTGCGCCTGCTCGTCATTCAGCATGTACGTTACAAACCACAGCCCTGTGCTGCTGGAGATGCACGAGGAGAAACCCACCGTCTTCCTCAAGGACTCTGCTCTCGAGGACCTGCGCCTGCGCGTCATTCAGCACGTATGTGTTTCTATCGATAGGCTTGGGTTCCCCCATCCCACTATCCATCCATTCATCCATGTGTCTTCCTCAAGGACTCTGCGCTAGAGGACCTGCGCGTCATTCAGTAGTGTCCAAGTACCATGTGCGCATCACCATGTCATATCTTCTCCCCACCCTCCCCCCCATTCTCATCCCCCTCTGAACGTCCTGGTTGTGTTCAAGTACCATGTGCGCATCACCATGTCATATCCCCACCCCCACCCCTCATCCTCGTCCCTCTCAGAACATCCTGGTTGTTTCCAAGTACTATGTGCGCATCACCATGGCACGGCTTGCCCAGCTCCTCTCCCTCACTGTCCAGGTCAGTCAACTTATTACCTCAAGCTCTATCTGAGCCGCGTCTAAGAATTCTTAATAGTGATTCAGATCTACACGGCTCTGCCTCACTCCGGGTGAGTCATATTTCATCACCTGAACCTTGCTTATAGTGTGGTTTTGTTCACTGCAATGGGAGAGAACTGGATGTTTTTCAGAGTCAACATCGTGGTTGTTTACACCACTACTTTCCCTAACAGGAGGCGGAGAAGTTTTTATCAGACATGGTGGTGGAGAAGGTGCTGGTGGCCAAGATCGACCGGCCGGCGGGGATTGTCACGTTCGGAGAGAGGCAGGAGAGTGGAGTGCAGCTGCTGGATAAATGGGCGAGTGACATTGCGAAGCTGCTTGACCTTGTGGAGACGAGCTGCCATCACATTCACAAGGAGGCGATGGTGCACAAGGTGGTGCTTAAAACATGATGAGGATGTGTTGCTGATGGATTTGCTATTGCTGTTTTTAACAGATACGATATTTGAGGAGTTTCCTTTTCCTTTCGCAGAAACACTAACCGTTTTATTGCGTGAATGTTACATGAGATGGGTTGAGTTTTTCACATTTCAGGCGGTGTGGCAATCAGCTACGTATATCGGAGTTCCCAGAATCTAGATTGCGCTGACAATCTTCTGGTGCCACGTGTCAGGGAATGTTCGCTATCCAGTCACAGAGCCAACCAGAACGCAGAGCAAACATTTCCGCGATTTGCCAGGTAAACCACGGAAGGTTCGGGGGGGGGTAGTGGGAGTGCAACAAGCAGCAGCACCTCCGCTCTGCACTGCACACATCCAGCTCCGCGCGCCGCGCAATGTGGAGATGCGGGAATTCGTCCGCGATAGTTCACTACAGCGGTCTAGTAATCTACCGTTCTGAAACGCAATTAACCCAACAAAACCCATGTTCGCTTCTGAGTAATAACGAATGCGCGCAACACCCCCTTGCGCTGCTAACTCCTCCGCGCCATTGCCATTGCCATCATTCACATACTGTACGTCTCTCACACGTAAGCAAGCTGACGTATGTGACTGACTGCGATGGCAATGGTTTGGAACCAAAGTTTGGAGCAGTAGAAAGCACAACTAATTACTTCGCCTCCAGGTGCAAGCGAGGTATTTAGAGGCGCGAGACTGCTGTGTCGGCGATCAGGTTGAGTCATCTCAAGTGTTTGCTTTTGCCGTCAAGGTCAGAATTAGCCGCCTGTCGCCGCCATGGCGCAAGCTCTGACGATGAGCACCTCACGTGCGACGTCGGTCGCACGCGCAGATTTCATTTCTGCGACCCGTCGTGACGCCACGTCTGCAGTCAGTCAACGTGTCGCCCTCTCTCAAGCAAACCTCTCGAGTCGCCTTCTCAGCGGCAGCCGAATTCCCGATCGTGTGATCCTCCGATCGCAGATCTCTCGCCGGCAGTCGCACGCGAGCCAATTCAATCGCTCACTGTCGCACGTCGTCGCAGCCGTTAGCGCATCAGTCGCAGTAGAGGAAGCTGACGTCGTTATCGTCGGCGCCGGCGTGTCGGGCCTGTGCACGGGGCTCGCGCTAACCACGGATCACGCAGACACTGTATCGAAGGTGATTGTAACGGAGGCGCGGGACCGCGTGGGCGGCAACATCACGACGGTGGTCGGCGAGGCGGGGACGGCGAACGAGGGGTATCTGTGGGAGGAGGGACCTAACAGCTTCCAACCCAACGACGCCATGCTCAAATGCGCGGTAAGTGTTCAGCATGGCATCCGCGTTATAAGGAATAAGGGCATTCGTTATGTGCTTAAAAACATGCGAGTCAGGGAGGGGCATCTGTGGGAGGAAGGGCCCAACAGCTTCCAATCCAGCGATGCCCTGCTGAAATGCGCGGTAAATGTTTCATCCGGGTTCATGAAAAAGCAGAGAATTCTCTGTCTGTTTAAAAACGAGCGAGCCGGGGATGGCGAACGAGAGGTATCTGTGGCAGGAAGAGCCCAACAGCTTCCAATCCAACGGCCCCTTGCTCAAATGCGCGGCATAGCAAGCGCAACAATTTTTAGCCCAGGAAAGCCGCGCTCCGATGCATAGTAGGTGTTATTCTGGTCGCTCGCTGTGTCGCAAGGTCCCAAATTCGCAGCACCAATTGGAAATCTATGACAATCTCGAGAATCTTCAATGTCTAGGGTTGCAACTTGAACACTATTTCAGAACATCCTTTACCGGGTGAGATTGAATCCCACAGGCGAGATGGTCTTGCTCCTGTCACCCTACCAACCCACCCCGCAGCTCGACAGCGGGGTCATCGCGATGCCCCGAGCGTCGTCTTCAGGGAGGGGCGCATGCGGCCCGTTTGCTAAGCCCTTCCTTCCACTCACCCCGTGCCTGTATTTCCTGTCCTGTCCGTTCCCCTTTCCTGTCCTTTCCCTGTCCATCCGCCAACCCACGTTGCAGCTCGACAGCGGGGTGATCGACCAGCTAGTCTTGGGAGATCCCGACGCCCCGCGCTTCGTCTTCTGGGAGGGGCGTCTGCGCCCGGTGCCCGCGGGCCTGCTGGACCTGCCAGTGTTCGACCTCATGTCCATTATCGGGAAGATCCGTGCGGGGCTCGGCGCGTTTGGACTCCGCCCCGCCGCTCCTGAGGTAAGTATCAGCAATGGGTGGTTGTGATGCCATGGGAAAGCCCCCCCCCCTGTGCCAACCGGCCTGCTGGACCTGCCCGTCTTTGTCCTCATGTCCATCATTGGGAAGATCCGCGCTGGTCTTGGTGCTTTCGGTCTTCGTCCCGCTGCTCCCGAGGTTAGTCTGTGAGTCAGAGAGTAGGTTTGAACTCCTGATTAGGCCTGGCAGGCCTGCTGGACCTGCCAGTCTTCGACCTCATGTCCATCATCGGGAAGATCCGCGCTGGTCTTGGTACCTTTGGTCTCCGCGCCGCCGCTCCCGTGGTGAGTTTGTGGTTCAGAAAGGTCTGATAACCTGATCTGGTCTGGAAGGGCTGGTGGACCCGCCGTGTCCGACCTCAGCCTTGGAATGTTGAGACATCTCAAAATTCGACCTCAGCCTTGGAAATGGTCCATGCCTGCGGGCCCGCTGGACCTGCCAGTGTTCGACCTCATGTCCACCATCCGGAAAATCCAGGCCAGTCTTGGTGCTGCCCCGCCGCTCCCGAGGTCAGTGTGAGCGTGAGCTGATTCGGCAGATGTGGCTGCCCAGGCTTGTCCGTTGTCGTGCGCCTTGTGCTCACCCCTTCCCTCCTCATCCGCACCCCGCTGACATGGCATCGCGTGGCGTGGCGTGGCATGGTGTGTGGCATGGCATGGCATCTTATGGCATGGCATCACATGGCATGGTATTTTGTGGAGAGCAGGGCAAGGAGGAGAGTGTGGAGGAATTTGTGCGGCGCAACCTGGGAGCAGAGGTGTTCGAGCGCCTCATCGAGCCCTTCTGTTCCGGTGGGTGGGTGGGTGGCAGGTAGGGTGGATGGGTGGGCGGTGGGTGGGTGGTAGGGTGGCAGGGTGGATGAAGGGTGGGTGAGTTGGTGGGTGGGTAGATGGGTGGGTGGGTGGGTGGGCGGGTGGTTGGGTGGGTGGTAGGGTGGGTGGGCGGGTGGTAGGGTGGGTGGGTGGGTGGTAGGGTAAGTGGTAGGGTGGGTGGTAGAGTGGGTGGTAGGGTGGGTGGTAGAGTGGGTGGTAGAGTGGGTGGTAGGGTGGGTGGTAGAGTGGGTGGTAGAGTGGGTGGTAGGGTGGGTGGTAGAGTGGGTGGTAGAGTGGGTGGTAGGGTGGGTGGTAGAGTGGGTGGTAGAGTGGGTGGTAGGGTGGGTGGGCGGGTGGTAGGGTGGGTGGTAGGGTGGGTGGGCGGGTGGTAGGGTGGGTGGGTGGGTGGTAGGGTAAGTGGTAGGGTGGGTGGTAGAGTGGGTGGTAGGGTGGGTGGTAGAGTGGGTGGTAGAGTGGGTGGTAGGGTGGGTGGTAGAGTGGGTGGTAGAGTGGGTGGTAGGGTGGGTGGTAGAGTGGGTGGTAGAGTGGGTGGTAGGGTGGGTGGTAGAGTGGGTGGTAGAGTGGGTGGTAGGGTGGGTGGTAGAGTGGGTGGTAGAGTGGGTGGTAGGGTGGGTGGTAGAGTGGGTGGTAGAGTGGGTGGTAGGGTGGGTGGGTACCTTTTGCTACTGCGAAATGCAGTAGGCAGAGAAGCAGTAACTTCTGCCAAGGTGTTAGAGCTGGAGCAGTTAGGATGGTCCCTCTACTCCCTCCGCCACTCCTCCCTCCCCTCCGCTCTCCGTCCCCTCCCCGCAGGTGTGTACACAGATGACCCCTCAAAGTGGTGACCATAAAGGCCGCATTCCTCCCCTTCCCATCAACCCCGCCACCACCCTCGCCTTTTCCCCCCCACCCACCCACCTCCCCACACCCCCTTCCTTCTCCTCCCTGCAGGTGTGTACGCAGGAGACCCATCGAAGCTGAGCATGAAGGCGGCGTTCGGCAAGGTGTGGCGATTGGAGCAGCTGGGGGGGTCCATCTTTGGCGGCTCCATGAAGCTGATCAAGGAGAAGCAGGCCAACCCGCCGCCCCCCCGTGACCCGTACGTGATGCATGCTAGCCCACAGTGTGTAACATGGTAACCAGGTGCGCTTGATGCTGCTAGCAGCAGCTGGGGGGGTCCATCTTTGGCGGCTCCATGAAGCTCATCAAGGAGAAGCAGGCCAACCCCCCGCCCCCTCGTGACCCGTACGTGATGCATGCTAGCCCACAGTGTGTAACATGGTAACCAGGTGCGCTTGATGCTGCTAGCAGCAGCTGGGGGGGTCCATCTTTGGCGGCTCCATGAAGCTCATCAAGGAGAAGCAGGCCAACCCGCCGCCTCCCCGTGACCCGTACGTCACGTGTGGTAAATGCATGGAATCACAGTAACGTGGTGAGCCCATGTTTGCTCCTGCTAGCAGCAGGTGAGGGAACGTTTTTGGCTGCTCACTGAATCTGATGAAAGAAGATAGGCCATCTTCCCCCCTCCCTGTGACCTGTGAGTGTGCTGCGCTGCGGTTGCTTTGTATCCGTACAGATTTTGGACGTCCCAAAACGTGACCTGTGAGTGTGCTGCGGTTGCTTTGTATCCGTACAGACAGATGCGTATCTCATTGTTGCCAATGCAGTTACCGTCATACCATTCTAAGTCATCCATCCCTTTGCATCCCTTTCCACCCCTGCCCTCTCCTTCTCACCTGTTCCCACCGCTCGTCACCACGTGTGTTTGCAGGCGCCTGCCGAAGCCCAAGGGGCAGACAGTGGGGTCGTTCCAAAAGGGTCTCATCACCCTCCCCACCGGCATTGCCAACAAGTATGGTGATGTGGTGACGTCGCGACATGCCACATAGTGCCATCCCATGTGGTGCCATCCCATGTGGTGACATTCTATGTTGTGCCATGCCATGTGGTGCCATCCCAAGTGGTGCCATGCCATGTGGTGCCATGCTGTGCCATGCCATGTGATGCGATGTGGTGCCATGCCTTGTTGTGCCATGTCATGTTGTGCCATGCCTTGTTGTGCCATGTCATGTTGTGCCATGTCATGTTGTGCCATGTCATTTTGTGCCATGCCATCCCATGCCATGCCACGGAACACCATGCCGTGTGCTGCCATGTTGCCATGATTTTATACCATCTGGTGCTATAGTGCCATGCCATGACATGCCACACCACACCACACCACATCACTGCACACAAAACGCACATCTCACTCCTATCCACCAAACAACCCCTCCGAACCTGCTCTCCAGGCTCGGCGACCGGGTGAGGCTCGGGTGGAAGCTGACAGCCATAGAGAAGCGGCCAGGTGGCAGCGGCTTCCTGCTCTCCTACGACACTCCCAAGGGCGCCAAGAAGCTCTCAGCACGCTCCCTGCTGCTCACTGTGCCGTCCTATGTCGCTGCTGACCTGCTCAAGCCTTACTCAGTGAGCATTCCATTCACCCTAATGAGTAAGCGTTCGGCCATGTTTTGAGAGAATCAGGCTGCTCGAAACAGCAGCCATGCTTGTGTGGGCCATCCGTGCTGCTCACTGTGTTGAAAGGCCAGCTGTTGCCACGGAGAGTCAGGCAGGCAGGTGGCAGCAAGGGAGGTTTCCTGCTGTCCTACGACACTCCCAAGGGCGCCAAGCAGCTCTCAGCGCGCTCGCTGCTGCTCACCGTGCCCTCCTACGTCGCTGCTGACCTGCTCAAGCCATACTCTGTAAGCATTCGGCAATACGGGAAGGCAAAACGGGACGTACTTACTTGGTAGGTCGCTGCTGACCTACTCAAGCGATACTCAAGTCACACCTCTTATGTTCTGAGATGAAGGCACCTTTACACCTTTGATGCAGCAGCCGCCCCTGCTGCGAGTCACTCCTGTGAGTATCTTCTTCCTGTGGGATCTCCCCTCTTCCAAACCCCCCTCCCCGTCCCCCCATCTCCTTCCCCCTCCCTGCCCCTCCTTCCCCTCTCCTCCATCTCTCTTCCCCTATCGCCCCTCCCACAGGCACCAGCAGCAGCGGCCCTCTCATCGTTCTACTACCCACCCGTGGCAGCAGTGACCATCTCGTACCCCAAAGAGGCCATTCGGGAGGACCGGCTCGTGGGGGGCGAGCTCAAGGGCTTTGGGCAGCTGCACCCGCGCACCCAAGGGATCGTCACTCTGGGTAAGTAGGATGTGTGTGGAATGGAGTGGGATGGAGCATAGGGAGTACCAGATACAAGGTGGGCGGGGAACTGAAGAGAGCTCAAGGGCTTTGGGCAGCTGCACCCGCGCACCCAAGGGATCGTCACTCTGGGTAAGTAGGATGTGTGTGGAATGGAGTGGGATGGAGCATAGGGAGTACCAGATACAAGGTGGGCGGGGAACTGAAGAGAGCTCAAGGGCTTTGGGCAGCTGCACCCGCGCACCCAAGGGATCGTTACTCTGGGTAAGGCAGTGGGTGGCGGAGACGGGTGGGCGGCATGGGTGGGAAGGGCTGTCTCTTTCGTCATCTATCTCCTTGGCTGCACCTCCCAGGCACCGTCACCTGCTCTTCTCCCACCCTGCTCCTGCCCAACCGTGCTCTTTGCTCCTTGCTGTCGCCGTCTCCTCCTTCCCTCCTCTATCGCCCCCCACCTCTCCTCACCAACCCCCCCCCTTCCAAGCACCATCTGCAGCTCCGTTTCTTTCCCCAACTGTGCTCGAAACTCCTTCCCTCCACTACCGGCCCCCAACTCTCCTTTCACCCCTCACAGGCACCATCTGCAGCTCCGTTTTCTTCCCCAAGTGTGCTCGATGTTCCTTCCCTCCCTCGCTCCCTCTATCCCCTCCCCCCACCCTCACAGGCACCATTTACAGCTCCGTTCTCTTCCCCAACCGCGTTCCATGCTCCGTGCTCTGCCCCTCCTCCCCCATCCCCTCACACCCCTCACAGGCACCATCTACAGCTCTGTTCTCTTCCCCAACCGCGTTCCATGCTCCGTGCTCTGCCCCTCCTCCCCCATCCCCTCACACCCCTCACAGGCACCATCTACAGCTCTGTTCTCTTCCCCAACCGCGTTCCATGCTCCGTGCTCTGCCCCTCCTCCCCCATCCCCTCACACCCCTCACAGGCACCATCTACAGCTCTGTTCTCTTCCCCAACCGCGTTCCATGCTCCGTGCTCTGCCCCTCCTCCCCCATCCCCTCACACCCCTCACAGGCACCATCTACAGCTCTGTTCTCTTCCCCAACCGCGTTCCATGCTCCGTGCTCTGCCCCTCCTCCCCCATCCCCTCACACCCCTCACAGGCACCATCTACAGCTCTGTTCTCTTCCCCAACCGCGCCCCGGACGGCCGTGTGCTGCTGCTGTGCTACATTGGCGGCGCGTGCAACACCAAGATCGCCACCATGGTGAGTGGGTGGTGGTGGTGGTGGGGCTTTAACTATATCCATGCTGTAACATGCTCGTGCTTGTTTTCGTGGTAAGTGCTGCTGCTGTGCTACATTGGCGGCGCGTGCAACACCAAGATCGCCACCATGGTGAGTGCTGGTGGTGGTGGTGGGGCTTTAACTATATCCATGCTGTAACATGCTCGTGCTTGTTTTCGTGGTAAGCGCTGCTGCTGTGCTACATTGGCGGCGCGTGCAACACCAAGATCGCCACCATGGTGAGTGCTGGTGGTGGTGGTGGGGCTTTAACTATATCCATGCTGTAACATGCTCGTGCTTGTTTTCATGGGAAATGCTGCTGCTGTGCTACATTGGGGACGCGTGTGACACTTCCGTCACTTCCCCTCCCTCTCCCATCCCAACCTGCCAGAGCGAGGTGGAGATAGTGAAGCAGGTGCACATTGATGTGCGCAAGATGCTCATGAAGCCGCTTCTTGCCCCCTCCCTTCCCCTTGTCCCCTCTCATTCCCTCGTCCTCTCATGTTCCCAACCCACCAGAGCGAGGAGGAGATAGTGAAGCAGGTGGACATCAATGTGTGGAAGATGCTCATCAGACCGCATCTTGCTTCCTCCCTTCCCCTTGTCCCTCATTCCCTTGTCCCACTCCCCTCCATGCTCCCACCGCCAGAGGAGATAGTGAAGCAGGTGGACATTGATGTGCGCAAGATGCTCATGAAGCCGCTTCTTGCCCCCTTTCTTCCCCCTCCCATTCCCTCGTCCTCTCATGTTCCCAAACCACCAGAGCGAGGAGGATATCGTGAAGCAGGTGGACATTGATGTGCGCAAGATGCTCATCAAGCCCGATGGAGCAGCCCCCCAAACGCACGGCGTGCGCGTGTGGCCGCGTGCCATCCCGCAGTTCAACGTGGGCCACCTGGACAACCTTGCAAAGGCGCGCGAGGAGATTAGGGCGGCGGGGCTCGAGGGCGTGTTCCTTGGAGGGAATTACGTGGCGGGTGTCGCACTGGGTCGGTGCGTGGAGGGTGGGTATGAGAGCGCGGCGGAGGTGGTACAGTATTTGAAGGAGAATGTAGCTGTTAGCAAATGAGGAACATTAAAATGATATGGAGCTGTAATTTTCTGGGTTTGATACTCCGCTAGCCCAAAAGTTGTTGTATAAGGTGGAATTGGTTTGGCTAGGAACTCCCTTACTTTTTTGTCTTCATTACCTGGCACAGCTTGAGTTGCTGATAAAAAGTCACAAACGAGCTTCTGTAATTTGTATTTGACATTGAAAGCGGCCAAGTTCCATCCACGTTACAAGCTGCAAAGGCTTGAGCAAGAGGTGCGGGCAATAATTGTCCAGTCAACAATAATTCCGCACTTTCACCAATAATTGTGGGATTGATGATGGCGAACGTCGCAAAAGGAATTTATTTTCACGACAGGCCGAGGCTTTCGCAGAACCTGCTCCTGGCGAAGGGCCCTATTGCGTAAAAGGGCAGAAATGTCGCCGGCGGCGACGGTTACCCTCCTCACCCAATAGGAACCTTCCATGCCACACATGTTCGCTGCAAGCAGTGAAATGTTCTGCACTGGCCGCACCGCGACTCAAGCTGTGTAATGCGGCTCGGAACATTTGCAGCTTGAGCCCATGCTTGCAGCCCTTGGGAGTCTGCTTCAAATTCGTTGCCTATTTGTACGGTGCAGTGTGTTTTACTGAAGCTCTACACGGTTCTGTGTAAACAAACGGAGCGCAGTACGGTTTAGTATTAAATAACACCTCCCTGTACCTCCCATCACACCACTCCGTGAGACACGGAGGGCGGTGCTGCTCAGTGCAGCGGCCAAAACGCTTCAAGCACAGTGCAGTGCCATAGGGACGAACATACCGCACAGCACCCACCTCGCTGCTGGTCGAGCGGCCGGTATAAGAACGGCGAGCACTGTCGCCCTCACTCATATAACTTGGTCCTTCGGTTCTTGGTCGCAATAAACGTAGCTTCATCATCAACTTTTGTCTTCCTCCCATTGACAATAAGACACGTGAATTCGTTCCCGCTTCAACGAGGAGTTGTGGCTCCGAAACCACAAACTGTCTAACCTTGAGCCTCCACTTTTAAAGGGATTTCTCGCAAGTTGCAATAGAACGAGGGACATACGATTTTCTCAGCCAAGTTGTTTTTCCAATTTGGAACAGATTCGGCGACGCCATGATCGCCTTTACCATCGCCGTTGCTCTGGTTACCACTGCTCTAGGCGCTCCTCTCCCCGCGGCGGCGGCTGCGGAGAATATTCCTCAGGCCTCCGACGCCGTAATCCAGTCGTCGCAGCGTGAGTCTCCTTGCGGCCTCAATCCCCAACTCTTGAAGAACCGCCACACAGGCTGGTGGTGCTCCTCACTCCCCCCCCTACTCACTTTCCCAAACCCTCTATTCTCATTGTCATTTTTCCTGCCTCTTCACCCTTCTTTTCCCTGTACTATAGCCACGTTCTCCCCACGCTTGCGCTCAACCCCACCCTCCCACTTGTCCCCGTTACAGTCACGGTGCTTCGCCAGTTAGCGAAGCAGTGGGGCAGCTGGTTCGACGGCTATAAGACATGGACCGAGCCCGGCGCGCCCAAGAAATGCTCCGCCTACGTGGGCGTCGGCTGCGACTCGAGCGGTCGAGTCGTGAGCTTGTAAGTCATTCCGAGTCAACGCCAGGCGATTCGCGTCAATAATCCGTCAAACCGAGTCATGGATGAGTCAAACCGAGTCAAGGATGAGTCAAACCGAGTCAAGGATGAGTCAAACCGAGTCAAGGATGAGTCAAGCCGAGTCAACGCCAGTCAAACATTGTATCTACTGGGGCCTCCCAACCGGCTTGGTGCAGTGACGGCCTGGCTCTGAGGCCAGCACCAAGCATGGTGGTCAGCATTGCTAGCGCAGAAAAACCCTTTGATTTCAGCACCTCGTGATTTGCTTCCTGGCGCCGATTTATGCATCCTTTGCCCCCTCTTCCCTGATCGCTCTAATGGTCAGATTTTGAGGCTCCTCAAATGTCTATCCCTTGCCCCTGATGCGTCCTTTCCCGCCTCTCCCCTGATTGCTCATGGTCAGAACGCTGCCAGTGTCCGCAGCAAAGGGGCCTATCACCGGCATCTCAAAGCTCACTGCTCTCACGAAAATGTGAGTGCTGCTGCCACCACTCACATGATGCCAGTGCCGCGATCGAGAGCTCTATCCCTACATCCCCATCGCTCACCCTTTCGCCCCCACCAGCTCGCCCCTCGCCCCTCACCCCTCGCCCCCACCCTGTCCAGCCCATCCATTTATTCACCCCCCTCGCCCCTCGCCCCTCGCCCTCCCGCCCCTCTCCCCAGATCGCTGCCCTACAACATCATCACGGGATCCATTGCTGACGTCACCAAACTGCCCAATCTGCGTTTTCTGTAAGCTTCTGCTCCCATGCCATGCCGTGCCATGCCATGCAATGCCATGCCATGCCATGCCATGCAGTGCCATGCCATCATGTCATGCAGTGCCATGCCGTGCCATGCCGTGCCATGCTGTGCTGTGCCATGCCGTGCCATGCCGTGCCATGCCGTGCCATGCCATGCCGTGCCATGCTGTGTTGTGCCATGCCATGCCATTCCATGCCATGCAATGCCGTGCCGTGCCATGCCATGCCATGCCGTGCCGTGCCATGCCGTGCCATGCCGTGCCGTGCCGTGCTGTGCCGCGCCATGCCATGCCATGCCGTGCCATGCCGTGCCATGCCGTGCCATGCCGTGCCATGCCGTGCCATGCCATGTCATGCCGTGCCGTGCCATTCCATGCCATGCCGTGCCATGCTGTGTTGTGCCATGCCATGCCATTCCTTGCCATGCCATGCCATTCCATGCCATGCAATGCCGTGCCGTGCCATGCCATGCCGTGCCGTGCCATGCCGTGCCATGCCGTGCCGTGCCGTGCTTTGCCGCGCCATGCCATGCTGTGCCATGCCATGCCATGCCGTGCCATGCCGTGCCATGCCATGCCATGCCATGCCGCTTGCCTCGCTTCCCCTACTAAGTTCCTGCCTCTTCGCCGCTTCTACCCTTTTTTCCCACATTCCTCTCCATTCCCCCCCCCCATTCGTCCCATCCCCCAGGGACCTGAGCCGCAACATAAAGATCGGCAAGCTTCCAGCATCACTCACAGCCATGACAGCACTCAAACACCTGTACGCCCGCCCCACTTATATATGCTTCTACTCCTTTTTCTCCAGCAATCTGCCTGTGTCTCTCACTCCCCTGCTTCCGCCCTCCGCACCCTTGTGTTCTGCTCCCTACGGCCTTCCTTCCACCCCATGCCCACAAAGGGTGTTGCATGTTGCCTCCCCCTCCACGCCGCTACGTCCGCCTTCCACGATCCCTGCTCTGCTTGCTTTCCATGCCCCTGCTTCCACCCCATGCCCGCAGGGACCTCAGTGGGTGTCATATCGGAGGGGCCAGGCTTTCTGGGGAGAATCGAATCGACACTGCAGCAAGGGTGTCACCTCCATCCTCCACGCCCATACTGTCTGCCCCGCAGCGACCTGAGTGGGTGTCACATCGGAGGGGCCATCCCCGCCTTTCAGGGGAGAATCAAATTGCTCCTGCAGGCAAAAAAAGAGCCTCCACCCTCCACGCGCCCCTGTTGTTTGCCCCACAGCGACCTGAGCGGGTGTCGCATCGGAGGGGTCATCCCCGCCTTCCTTGGGAGAATTAAGTCCCTCACCTTCCTGTGCGTTGCGGTAACACCACCACTCACATGCCCATCATCCATACCGCCACTCGCATGCCCATCACCCATACCACCACACACATGCCCATCACCCATACCACCATCATTGGTACCATCACCACTCGTACCTTGTACACTCCTACCCGATGCACTCCTGGCCCATGCACTCGCCTCGCCCCATTTCCATTCATAGCCCCTCTCTCTCCCATCTCCCCAAATCCCTATCCCCCATCTGGATTCCCATCCCCAATCCTATCTGTAATCCTCTCCCCTTCCCTCCCTTCCTCTCCCATCCTCTCCCCTCCTCTCCCCTCCTCTCCCCTCCTCGTCCGTCCCAGCGGCCTAAGCAACAACTTCTACACGGGTGAAGTTCCGCCATCCTTTGGAGGCCTCTTGAGAGGAGATTACTTGTGACACACCTCACCAAAAGAACTTCGCTTCCCCCTCCTATTCCCTACTCTCCCCCTCCTCTTCCCTCCGCTCCCTTCCTCTCCCTTCTAAGTGGCCTAAGCAACAACTTCTACTCAGGGGAAGTGCCGCCATCCTTTGGAGGCCTTTCCAACCTCGCCTACCTGTAAGCCACTCTCACACGGCCACTCTCACACACCCCTCACACACAGCCACTCTCACACACCCCTCACACACAGCCACTCTCACACACCCCTCACACACACCCCTCACTCACAGCCACTCTCACACACCCCCTCTCGCACACTCCCTCTCACACACCCCTCACACACAGCCACTTTCACACACCCCCTCTCACACACTCCCTCTCACACACCCCCTCTCACACACTCCCTCTCACACACCCCCTCACAAACACCCCCTCTCACACACCCCCTCTCACACACCCCCTCTCACACACCCCCTCTCACACACCCCCTCTCACACACCCCCTCTCACACACCCCCTCTCACACATCCCCTCACACACAGCCACTCTCACACCCCCCCTCTCATAAGGCCACTCTCACACCCCTCTCTCACAGAGCGTCTCTCACAGAGCGTCTCTTACAGAGCGCCTCTCACAGAGCGCCTCTCACAGAGCGCCTCTCACAGAGCGCCTCTCACAGAGCGCCTCTCACAGAGCGCCTCTCACAGAGCGCCTCTCACACAGCGCCTCTCACAGAGCGCCTCTCACAGAGCGCCTCTCACAGAGCGCCTCTCACAGAGCGCCTCTCACAGAGCGCCTCTCACAGAGCGCCTCTCACAGAGCGCCTCTCACAGAGCGCCTCTCACAGAGCGCCTCTCACAGAGCGCCTCTCACAGAGCGCCTCTCACAGAGCGCCTCTCACAGAGCGCCTCTCACAGAGCGCCTCTCACAGAGCGCCTCTCACAGAGCGCCTCTCACAGAGCGCCTCTCACAGAGCGCCTCTCACAGAGCGCCTCTCACAGAGCGCCTCTCACAGAGCGCCTCTCACAGAGCGCCTCTCACAGAGCGCCTCTCACAGAGCGCCTCTCACAGAGCGCCTCTCACAGAGCGCCTCTCACAGAGCGCCTCTCACAGAGCGCCTCTCACAGAGCGCCTCTCACAGAGCGCCTCTCACAGAGCGCCTCTCACAGAGCGCCTCTCACAGAGCGCCTCTCACAGAGCGCCTCTCACAGAGCGCCTCTCACAGAGCGCCTCTCACAGAGCGCCTCTCACAGAGCGCCTCTCACAGAGCGCCTCTCACAGAGCGCCTCTCACAGAGCGCCTCTCACAGAGCGCCTCTCACAGAGCGCCTCTCACAGAGCGCCTCTCACAGAGCGCCTCTCACAGAGCGCCTCTCACAGAGCGCCTCTCACAGAGCGCCTCTCACAGAGCGCCTCTCACAGAGCGCCTCTCACAGAGCGCCTCTCACAGAGCGCCTCTCACAGAGCGCCTCTCACAGAGCGCCTCTCACAGAGCGCCTCTCACAGAGCGCCTCTCACAGAGCGCCTCTCACAGAGCGCCTCTCACAGAGCGCCTCTCACAGAGCGCCTCTCACAGAGCGCCTCTCACAGAGCGCCTCTCACAGAGCGCCTCTCACAGAGCGCCTCTCACAGAGCGCCTCTCACAGAGCGCCTCTCACAGAGCGCCTCTCACAGAGCGCCTCTCACAGAGCGCCTCTCACAGAGCGCCTCTCACAGAGCGCCTCTCACAGAGCGCCTCTCACAGAGCGCCTCTCACAGAGCGCCTCTCACAGAGCGCCTCTCACAGAGCGCCTCTCACAGAGCGCCTCTCACAGAGCGCCTCTCACAGAGCGCCTCTCACAGAGCGCCTCTCACAGAGCGCCTCTCACAGAGCGCCTCTCACAGAGCGCCTCTCACAGAGCGCCTCTCACAGAGCGCCTCTCACAGAGCGCCTCTCACAGAGCGCCTCTCACAGAGCGCCTCTCACAGAGCGCCTCTCACAGAGCGCCTCTCACAGAGCGCCTCTCACAGAGCGCCTCTCACAGAGCGCCTCTCACAGAGCGCCTCTCACAGAGCGCCTCTCACAGAGCGCCTCTCACAGAGCGCCTCTCACAGAGCGCCTCTCACAGAGCGCCTCTCACAGAGCGCCTCTCACAGAGCGCCTCTCACAGAGCGCCTCTCACAGAGCGCCTCTCACAGAGCGCCTCTCACAGAGCGCCTCTCACAGAGCGCCTCTCACAGAGCGCCTCTCACAGAGCGCCTCTCACAGAGCGCCTCTCACAGAGCGCCTCTCACAGAGCGCCTCTCACAGAGCGCCTCTCACAGAGCGCCTCTCACAGAGCGCTCTCACAGAGCGCCTCTCACAGAGCGCCTCTCACAGAGCGCCTCTCACAGAGCGCCTCTCACAGAGCGCCTCTCACAGAGCGCCTCTCACAGAGCGCCTCTCACAGAGCGCCTCTCACAGAGCGCCTCTCACAGAGCGCCTCTCACAGAGCGCCTCTCACAGAGCGCCTCTCACAGAGCGCCTCTCACAGAGCGCCTCTCACAGAGCGCCTCTCACAGAGCGCCTCTCACAGAGCGCCTCTCACAGAGCGCCTCTCACAGAGCGCCTCTCACAGAGCGCCTCTCACAGAGCGCCTCTCACAGAGCGCCTCTCTCAGAGCGCCTCTCACAGAGCGCCTCTCACAAGCTCATCGCCCGCTTGGGATCCTCTCTCTCTCCAGTCGAATAACATTTCCCTGCCTGTTAGGCTGGCAGGCAGGCGTTTTCCCTGTTGGCACTCCTGAAGGCACTTCACGCTCTCTTTCTCTCTCTCCCTCCTCACACACACAAGGACCTCTCTGGTTCCGGCGAGGAGGAGGAGGAAGGCAACGGGGTTGGGTGAGGAGGAGGAGAAGGCAAAGGATTTCCACTTCTCTCCCTCCTCACACACACAGGGACCTCTCTGGTTCCGGCGAGGAGGAGGAGGAAGGCAACGGCCTGGGGAGCCCTCTGCCCTCGCAGCTCGCGAATCTCAAGGCACTCAAATCCCTGTCAGTGCCCTGCACCGTGCTCTCACTGCTTGCTGCCACCGCTGCCGCCGACGCCGCCGCCGCCGCCGCCGCTGCTGTTGCTGCTGCTGCCGCTGCTTCCATATCTTTGACTCAACTCTTTAGCAACAATTCCATAGCTCTCGCTTCTTATCAGTACCACAACAGCACACCCTCCCTCCTCGTTATCCCCTTCCCACCGCATTCGTACTCTTGTCGCACTTACTCACGAGATAATAAGAGGCAGCTTCCTAGCCCCGTTTCCATCGGCCTTTCTGCTTGCCACCCCTCCCTCCCGCAACCTGTGGGGAAATGAGTTCACGGGGCGCATTCCGGACTTCCTTGGGAGCCTCAAACCTTCCCTCAACCTTGTTTCAAGTTCCCCGCCTCCTTCCCTCCCTCTTCCCCCCACTTCTTACCCACCCCCACCAGCAACCTGTGGGGAAATGAGTTCACGGGGCGCATTCCGGACTTCCTTGGGAGCCTCAAACCTTCCCTCAACCTTGTTTCAAGTTCCCCGCCTCCTTCCCTCCCTCTTCCCCCCACTTCTTACCCACCCCCACCAGCAACCTGTGGGGAAATGAGTTCACGGGGCGCATTCCGGACTTCCTTGGGAGCCTCAAACCTTCCAGCAACTTCCTCTGTACCCACCTTCTCTCCTCCTCCCCTTTCACTTCCCGGCCCACCCCTCACCTATTTCCACCAGCAATCTGTGGGGCAACGAGTTCACATGGCCCATTCCGGACTTCCTTGGGAGCCTCACAGAGCTGTAAGTGGCTGTAACGAGAGTTCCAGCAACGGCAGTGGTTATAGTAAGAGTAGTAACGGTAGGTGTTTCACTGCTACCCCTTCATAATACAACTCCCATCATTGCGTCCTGCCAAGGCGACCTCACCAATTTGACTGATCTCTGAGTGTCTATAACGAGCTCCTCCTCCTCCTCCTCCTCCTCCTCCTCCTCCTCCTCCTCCTCCTCCTCCTCCTCCTCCTCCTCCTCCTCCTCCTCCTCCTCCTTCTCCCACTCCAAATCCCTTCCCTAACTGGTTTCCCCCCTCTCCTCCCACCCCCCACCCCACTCCTAACCGTTCAAGTGTCGTCAGTCGCAACTTCCTTTCTGGCGCCCTCCCACCCTCCCTCACATCGCTCTCCAACCTCATAATCACTATTGAGTCGACGCAAAGTCATATTTTACCTGTTTGTCCCTCCCTCCCCTCTCACCCCCACACTGCTCCAGTGCCGTCAGTCGCAACTTCCTTTCCGCCGCCATCCCAGCCCCCCTTACGAGAATTCTGAAAAGTGAATTCCTTCCCTAACTGGTTCACCGTTTCACCCACTCTCCATTCCCCCCATCTCCCCCACACTGCTCCAGTGACGTCAGCCGCAACTACCTTTCCGGTGCCCTCCCACCCTCTCTCGCATCTCTATCCAACCTCACGATTGCCAGCAACTATTTCTCGGGCAGCGCGGCCTCTTTTCCCTGCCCGGATCCTGACGCTCTCTCATACAACTGCTTCTCCTCAGTTCCCTCCAAGTGCAAGGGAACTATCACTCCTCGTCCTGCTAATAGGTGTCGGGATTTCTGTGGGACGGGGACGAAAGCAGGCACATGTGGGGGGCATGGCGTGTGCCGGCCAGCTTGGAAGGGGAGTGATCTACTGTTCTCGTGCCAGTGCTTTAAGGGTTATGTGGCTAGCAAGAACGGATTGACCTGCGAAGCAAAGAGCAGTTGAGCAGTACCCATAGCATTTGTACAGGGAAAGAGGCTGCACGGATCGTGCTGCCGTAGTTGCTCTTGAATCCCAATAAACGTGCTGTAAGCACCTATATATTGTCATGTTGAGTACCCTACTACAGCCTACACAGCAAATAACATTTTGACACACTCCCATAGGCGAAGTGGGGGATAGTCAACACAACAAGCAGTCGCAGGACCAGTTCACAAGCAAAGCCTATGTTGAAACTAGGAGTTAGGTGAATGTCGATTAGGTAAGAGGGAGGGGTAAAAGACTATCGAGAGAATTGGGTTGTACCCTCTAAGGAATGACCCCTACACAACCTAGAGTGAAATAAACAGAACTATATGTTTTGAGACACCCCCATAGGTGAAGTAGGGGATAGCCAAACCCAACAGTGGTCACAAGACCAGTCAAGCAAGAGAACAAGCAAGGCAAAGCCCGGGGTGGATCTCAAGGACACCACATAATCTGAGCACAAGCAGGCGACCACAAGGCCAGTTCACATGCAGATTTAAAATAGCAAGGCAGTACACTGATCACAACCTAGGAGTAAACATGCAGGTATAAAGATATATAACAGTGTACAACAAGAGCAATTCAGGCAACCAGCAGGTGAGGCAGAGTGGGCACAAGCCCAAGAGCAGTGCAGAAACGCTGATGATCACCAGACCCAAGGGCCTTGGTGAACACATCAGCAGTGTTGGCCCGAGAGGCCACGTAAGCAAGGCGCAGCTGACCACGCTGCTGCAGCTCACGCGCAAGGAAGTAGCGAAGAGCAATGTGCTTCGTTCTGTGCTCCAGTCTCTGCTCACGACACAAGGCAAGCATTGCCTGATTGTCGACGTACAGAACTGGAGGAGAACGAGGCCGCTCCCCCAAGTCGGTCAGCAGGTAGGTCAGCCAGCGGAGCTCCTGTGTAGCCATGGCCCCAGCGTAGATCTCGGCCTCACACCTGGAACCAAGCACAGAAGAAGAACGAGTGGACCTCCACAAGACAGTACCAGAGCCAAGACTGAAGGTGTAACCCTGTGACGAACGCTGAGTCGCCTGGTCGTCGGCCCAAGAAGCGTCAGAGTGTCCTGTGAGGACCACCGAACCCCGTCCTCCAAGCACTAGCCCCATGCCCGATGTGCTGCACAAGTAACGCAGTACCCGCTTCGCAGCATCAAAGTGCACCTTTCGGTGTCTACCGGGTGCCACGTAGCGAGCCAGAAGGCTGAGAGGGTACGCGAGGTCAGGTCGTGTGTACGTCATCAGGTACATGAGGCAGCCCACAAGCTCTGGGTACGGACCACTCGGCTCTACGGACTCGTCCGAAGGTGGAGCTGAGAACGAGTGGCCGGTAGCCAGAGGAGTGGGTTGTGGCGAGGAGTACGTGAAGCGGAAGCGCTGAAGGACCTGGTGCACCATGTGTGACTGAGTCAGGGTGATGGTGCGCCGTGCTCTGTCCCGGGTGATCTGCAAGCCAAGATAGCTCCGCAGCTCACCCAGGCCAGTGCAGGTGTGTCTCTCCTGCAGCTCCGCCTTCACTAGGGCCAGTGCCTCAGTGTCAGCAGTAGCAAAAACCAAGTCGTCAACGTACACGAGGATGTAGAACGGCGGCAAAGAAGTGTCGGTGCGTAGAAACAGCGACGGGTCAGCAGTCGAAGGAGCAAACCCTAGAGCCGCAAGTGTCGTCCTCAGTGTGTCGTGCCACTCGCGGGGCGCCTGACGCAGGCCGTACACTGGTCGCCGTAGGCTCCACTGGGTACCCTCAGGAAACGACCCAGTGAAGCCCTGTGGACGGCGCAACCAGATGGCCTCGTGAAGGCTACCCTGCAAGAAAGCTGTCGAGAAGTCGAGGGAGTGCAGCTCGTAGTCACGCTGAGCTGCAACGTGTAGCAACACCCGAAGAGTGGTCATCTTCGGGGTGGGGGAGAAGGTCTGAAAGAAGTCGACCCCCTCACGCTGACTGAAGCCTCGAGCAACGTAACGTGCCTTGAAGGCAGGCGGAGAACCCGGCGGCCATTTCACCCTGAAAATCCACATGCCACTGACGATGTTCGCCCCAGGTGGAGGAACCTCGTCGACGTAGGTGCCTGTGGACTTCCAGAAAGCCATCTCTGCGTCCATGGCTGTCTGCCACTGAGAGGAGTACTCACCCGAAATCGCCTCCCTGTAGGAGCGCGGGGTGGGGATGTCAAGTGCATCCGGGTCTCCCTCAGGGGCAAGCAGCATGGTCGCGTGATGGGGTGAAGCGGCCGCAAGGCACTCCAGCTCCTCCTGTCTGTCCTCAAGAACGTCACAGCCAAGGGCAGTACAGCCAAGGGCAGTCTCACCCCCGACGGACGGAGGACAGGCAGGGACAGGGTCAGGTACAAGACTCGCAAGGTAGTCTAGGCGGTACACAGCAGCAAAGTCAACGAGCTCAGCTACTAGGGCAGACACAGCAGGAGAAGAGAACGTAGGGTCCGTCACAACCGTAGCAAGAAGGCGAGTAACAGTCGGACTGGACGCACGAGCAAGGTCAGACGGAGGGTCAGCAACGTCATGCAGAGAGGACGCAGGAGGTAACGGTAGGACAACACGCTGAGGAACAGAGGAAAGACGGAGTGTCATATCGTGAGTGCCGGGGACAGCCGGAGCACGCGGACGACGAACACGAGGAACACGAGCACGGACAGCAGCTCTAGGCTCAGGCTCAAGGTCAAAGCTAGACTCAGGCTCTCGACGCTCAGGGGTGGAAGCACGAGTCTCAGGCTCTCGACGCTCAGACAGGGACTGTGTCACTGCAGTGTAAGGAGCAGGAGCAAGTAGTGGGGAGTGCGGTAGCAGCGGCGGCTGTGACTGGTCCGCTGGTGGACACAGCAACGGAGGAGTAGTACCTGCCACAGGAAAGCCAGTAGCACCTGGCTGAAGACTGAGAAGGTGGCGAAGAGCACCAGTAGCTCCACCAGGACCTCCAGCACCTCCAGCACCTCCAGCCC